TTTCTTCCAGTTAACATTAGATACAGTCTGCAGTTAAATTTTTTAAAACACGTATTAGATTCATAAACTATCCTGGATTTTTACCAAACTTGGACAGAAGCTTCTGACAATAAAAAAAATTGTATCGAGAGGAATATTTTTATTAAATTTTTTCCTCATCTCATTTTTGTTGAGCCTGCGTTTAACAGCAAAAGTAGGCGAGACACTGGGTTCCGCGGAACCCTTACAAATTTTTGTTTTGAGTGACTGTCCTTTTATAAACCTTGACATTTTCGAAATGCTAAAGATTTTCTACCTCAAGAATAGATTACCTTAGATGTATTCGACAAAACCTTTGTTTCGCAATTTTGGGTCCTCAATGTCTTTCAACTTCGTACTTTATTTGGCCTTTTTAACTTTTTTATTCGAGCGTCACTGATGAGTTTTTTTGTAGACTAAACTTGCGTCTGCGGCACAACATTTTAATCCTAGTACAGTGTATCTTTAAATATCTAAATATCTTTTTTTATATAAATTGGGTTTAATTTTTAAAGTATTTTCAGGTATTCATAAAACTTCTGAAAATAAGATATATTTCTTCAAAACCAAATTTTTCTGTAGAATATTTGGATTGATTTAAGTAACTTTTGGAAATCCTTCAATTTGAGATGTTTTATGAGACCAAAAAAATTATCAGTTTATAAGAGGTCCCAATGAAGCTGGTGTGTTACTCTCAATAAAAATATACGAAACCTTCTTATAAGTTGCATGCCACAGGGTTTCACTTCAAATGAAATTGGACATTAAATTTATCTATAAAACATCTGCCATGATTACAGATAGCTTCAATAATGAGTATAAGAATAGCTGAAGGCATCCAGGAAACAAAATATGAAGATAAGATAGATACAATAAATGCGTCCAAATGATGAAACAAACTGAGTTCTTAAGGAAGCAATATACAGTTGGGAAAATTTTAAATTCACCCTCATAAATTTTACCATCCGCTTTTCCTTGCTTACTTACAAATTAAGCTCACTGTTTGTGTCATATATGTGCATATGTATGTAATCAGTATCTTCCATAGATTTGATATCCAGTAGTTGAAAAAGTTAAAGATAATTTCTTTTTGGTGTATCCATGGCAACAACCAGCATGTATTTGTTATAAAATATTGCAAAAAGGGGGTAAATATATCACATATTTCCCCAAAATTTGGCAAAAGTAGAATGTCAATCCCTTGGAGTGATACCTTTTTTGAAACTGTTTACACATATCTATCAAAAGATCAAATAAAAATCATATGTCTTTCGTCTCATTTTTTTGTAAAATTGCGTCAAAAAGTTCATGTGAAAAAAAGTGTTTATAATCATTACAAAAATTTCTGGACCTATGGCCGGTCTGGCTATAAAAATACGGACAGTCTAACAAGAAAAAGCCCATAAAACTTTTAAAAAATAATCTTGATGTTCTTATAAACCCACCTTGAAGGCCAAATTTAGTCATCAGCTGTCTAAAAATGAATTTTATTGCACAATAACTTTCATATTTGAAAAATCTACCGGGGCGAAACTACACTCCTAAATGTGTATTGCTACCTAAATTTATATTTCGCTTGGTTTGTGCAATTTGTATCAGACATCATCATTACCTTATTCTATTTACTAATCAAAAGCCAAAAAAAATCAACAATATTTTGATGACCAGTCAGCGGGCTCGGGTTCACGTATTGCTTTTCTTTTTTTAAAGAAAGCAACTTGTTTTGTTTTGCACATCAGTGACTGTAGTATTGTTGTGCACCACATTTTTGAGGTTATTTCGAATAGACAGAAAAAATATACTAGTCATTCCTTATAATTCAATTTAAATTTCATTTTTAAGGAGTAAATCATGACAAAACGTTGATGACGCCATGGTCACATAACAAAATTATGTCTATGAGCTGATAGACTAAAAACTTTTAGCCAATCAGAAGACGTGTTACATCCAAAATTAAATTATTGGTACATATTAATGATGTCATTGATAAGTCTGGATCAAAGTTATTAGGGCAAGGTTGGACTCGGACTTCCTGAGTTTAATGTATAACTGTGTTTTTTTTTAATTCCACATTGTCTAAAGGTATGGTTGAGGTCTCACAAAACATGTTCAACCCCGCCGCATTTTTTTGCGCATGTCCCTAGTTAGGATCTTCTAGCCTTTGATAGTCTTGTGTGGTTTTAAATTTTGGTTCATTTATATGTTTCTGAGTTTAATTTGGCCATTTCGCTGAACTAAAATTGAGGATGGAAATGGGGAATGTGTCAAAGAGACAACAACCCGACCATAGAGCAGACAACAGCCGAAGGCCACCAATGGGTCTTCAATGCAGCGAGAAACTCCCGCACTCGGAGGCGTCCTTCAGCTGGCCCCTAAACAAATATGTATACTAGTTCAGTGATAATGGACGTCATACTAAACTCCAAATTATACACAAGAAACTAAAATTAAAAATGATACAAGTATACATTAATGTTGAGGGCCAGCTGAAGCTCACCTCTGGGTGCGGGATTAGTTGCTGTGTTGAAGACCCATTGGTGGCCTTGGGCTGATTTCTGCTCTTTTGTCGGGTCGTTGTCACTTCGACACATTCCCCGTTTCCATTCTCAATTCTATATATGTGATCCTGGCCCAAACTCCTTTTCGTGTCAATAAGTTTGTTGAGCAGTGAGGCTAGGTTAGACACTACATAAGTGTTATTGTCACCATCACGAAATGGTTGATCTATACGATTTGTCTGCGTCTGCGTTTCAGCTCAAAGGAAACATTTTCATGGTCTTTGTCTGAAGATACAAGAAAGAGAGACGAAAGATACCAAAGGGACAATCAAACTCATAAGTCGGAAATAGACTGACAACGTCATGGCTAAAAAAAAGAAAAAAGACAAACAACAGTACACAAAACACAACTTAGAAAACTAAAAACTGAGCAACACGAACTCCATCAAAAAATTTGGGGTGATCTCAGGTGCTTCGGAAGGGTAAGCAGATCCTGCTCCACATATGGCACCCGTCGTGTTGATCATGATGGTACAAACCCAGTGATAAGTCTAATTTGGTAGGTAACATTCGGGGAAAAGGGAACGGGATTGTATTACGACAATTGGAACATACCCGTTGTCGTCTGTGAAACAGGTATTCCATAATGGTCAACTAACTCGTTCGTAAAATTTACGAAGGGATTATTTCAACTTCACCACTTGGAACTCTTGGTTTAAATGCTTCTCTGTGAGCAGCAATCCTCTATTAAGGAAATCATGATAGGAAATAAACCCTGGAATATCGTATCAACTGGGAGATATATAGTCAGTATGCAGGCGCTGCTGGAATGTTGTTACTTAGTAATGGGAAGCTGAAAAGTCATCTGATCTGTTGATTTACCCGGCGATTGTGTCAAGGTCTGCATTCTCATGGCGGGTGCCTTATGCACAGCAGGTGACGCTTGCAATGTCGACGCATCTTGTCTCGCTACTTATGGAGTTTTTTGCAGTCCCCTCGGTCTTTTCTCTTCAGCAAACTACTTTTTTCTCTTATTTATCCATTTCCACATTACAGACGTAAGTAAGACATAACAAAAATAACCAACAAAACTATTTATTTCTATTTTTAAAATATCACATTATTTAACAACACATTATTTTAACAATATTAATATTAACAAAAATATAACACACTACACATATTAGGAATGTAGTTCCTTGGTTGTGTTTTTTTTTAACATCCTTTATTAATTAAACTCATACATGCTTACCACCACAGCCATGATTTATTTTATATTTTATTGCAAGCAAATCCTATATATATGATCAATTATTAAGTAAAGTAGAGTCAGTTTTTATCAAGATACGATTATGTACACTTACCGTACAACTAAAACAATAACGTGAAGTATACATGTACGTATTTGGACGATACTTTAGATTACTGTTCATTTAAACTCGTTATACTGCAGCCGAATGTCGGGAAATGATACATGAACCAACTTTGCTTTCAGAGATAAAGTCACTATAAAAACTGATATAAAGGTTCTAAATGTTTAGAATATATGGAATTATTGTAAAAAAAGGAACTGCTTTAAAAAAAAGTACGATTTTTCGATTCCCGAAAATATGCATACTACACAAAATTAATCTGAATAAAATTCCAGACTTCAATTGTAAATAAAATATGTAATAGGCACATTATAATAGCCTGATTTTAAAAAAGAGGGAACTTAAGATTCTGTGCCCCAAAGCCGTGATTTCTTATCTTCCCCTCGTAGAGAAAAAACATACAAGCGACATATGTCAGTGAATGAAGTTGGAACGGTAGTATTTACTATCCGGGAACTAGGTTGCTCCTTTATGTACCATATTTAGTATATAGGTCAATGTATCTGAACCCTGTGATTAGACAAAAAATACAGTATCTGCAGATCATATTGTCCCAAGCAGAAGGAACAATCAAGTGCAGAAATATATGAATAATTCTAAATACATGTGAAAATGAATTTTTGAGATTTTTTTTTAAATTTTGTATTCACTGCAAGATAAAAGACCTAAAAGCCTTATGTTTAAAAAGATAACAGAAAAAGTAAACGGTCATCATACATATTTAAATTTATTTCTGAATATCATAATGAAAGTACATCAGTTGTGTATGTACGTTCTGTGTTACTGATAGAAAGAGGTGAAAATTCTAATAAAAAGGCTATCGTTATCCCTATTGCAGGAAAGCTGCCACCTTAAAGTTTTACATTTAAATCGGGTAATACAGTCGGACCTCTAATGAATACAATGAAGTATGTCATTTATCAACAATTCTCTAAAAACGAAGTTTGCTAAATGAGATTTTCGACGTAAATAAAAACTAATAGATGGACAAGTGCTTCGTTAAATATTTGTAGAATCATAAAACTGTGACTATAAAAGGATGCAACTCCCCTTAGGTGACTGTAGACGCTGTTTTCGGTTCGGTTTAAGCCCTTTTTGTTTTTATGTTGTCTAACCTTTTATATTTTTGTTTTTCCAAACTTCTGGTGTCAAGCGTATTTGATAAAGATAAATCCATCAACTTGTGTATTGCGTACGGAAATTATATCATACTTTTTATGACGTACAAAAGTCTAAATTTCGAATCTTAAAATAAATCAATAAAAATATCAGAAAACTCTAATAACTACACAAAACAAAACTTGCATATTAAAGCCTTCAACAATAGACTGGTGTAAGTATACTAAAGATACAACTTATCACCAGAATTAAATAAACTTATCGTAGATACCAGGATTAAAATTGTGTACGCCAGACGCGCGTTTCGTCTACAAAAGAGTCATGAGTGAAACTTGAATCAAAAGGTTAAAAATCCCAAATATAGTATGACGTCGAAGAGCATTGTGAAGCTATTATGACATATTTCTGAATGATCTTCATAATACATGTTGCGGAACAATAAAAGATATAATTAAGACTTGTGTGGATTAATTAATAATGGAATATCGATATTTGTATTTTGCCCATTTAGAATGGCTCCAAATTTGTCGCAATAAAATTTTATAAGTGGTAAAGACTTGTCGTTTACAAGTGGGTTTTCCAAAGTTACTTTTTTGCAATAATCTGGCAAACTATTTCTGTGCAATAACATTCCAGTACATGGTTTATATTCTGGTGGCTTGGATCCGACAACCAGACATAAGGGAGAACAAAGTCGTCCGCAAGAATCGTGCGCTGACATATACGATGATGAATTATCTATATTCGATATGGCAATGTTAAGCCTCGAAGTTGCAAATGGATTGTTTTTATTCATAACAACAAAGTCTAAATATTGACCACTGTATGATACACCGTCTGATCCAACATAGATATCAATTTTATTCTGGTCTTTCTGTTGGCACTCGTGATGTCTTAGTTGTTTTTCATTAAGATGTCCAAATTCTAGCATATCAGGTACATGATAAATTGGATGTAAATGGTCAGCAAAGGTTCCATAGTACACATTTACAGTCACAAAACACCACAAGTCTAGGTTTTGTTTCCCATTAATTACAAAATCATGTGGAATAGATTTCTCTATATCAGCTTGGAAAGGCATATGTTGAGAAATGCACCGCCAATTTGTCGTATCGCATATCAGCCATTTCGATTTGCACGTAGGTTGATCTGGAGTACAAAAAGGCGAATATTCGTAACTATAAACATGATCTGTCCAGTAATCCGAGTAGCCATGTATATTTCTAAAATATCCAAATGGTTTCATATCAATTAACGGATGATGTTCTCCGTAGGCAGTCCTAGGATAATCAAACTCGGGGTTTATTCCCTTATCTTTTTGTGCCATCCTAAAAAGGGACCAAAGATAATCAATAAAGGCGTGGTGAACGTAAAATAACGGATCGTCTGCAGATGTATCAATCTGTCCCATTTGTCCTCCAATCCAGTCATGGACATCGTTATGTGCTTCTTCTAAACAATTAGCATCATCTGCAGTTGGATAAGTAATGTCTTTTGTTCGATTCTGACTTAATATATTCCCTGCATACTCTGTAGATATCGCTTTACCACTTCCGCTCATATTTCTGTAAAGTGGTCCAGTATTTGGTCCAATAAAATCTCGATATGGACCAGTGGTAACATATCCCTTATTATTTCCGGCAAAATGTTCAGAAAACATAACTGATTGTTCAGGGATCATCATGTTACTATCAAGAGTTGAATCCCAATACGGCAGGATAACTCCAGGGACCATTTCTTTTATAGCCATTTCAAATCTGCAAATAGTTTGATATTAAAAGCATTAAAACCTAATTTCTTGTAATTGCTTTCTAGAGTTTCTTTGATAACTTATTATAAATCACTTTATAAAATTAGCTGCGTTTATTTAGTTTGGTGCAGAAATACATTATCAAATGCAAACGTTTCAACCCTTGATGTTACTGCTTCATCATTCAATAAGAACCCAAGCATTTCACACTGTATACATTACAAAAATTCATGTTTATTTTTTTCTCTATTGTATTTTTCACCTTTTTCATATTCTATATATATATTACAGAGCATGCCAATATTTATATTTATGTATTGTTCATTAAGTGAATTATTTGTATAATAGGAGACAGATTTGTAAAAGCAAATTCCTTGTTTCTGAATCCTAAATATTTATTTCAATTGTATTATATCGTTATGTGATGAGTTATCTGAATAAATATTGTTTAAACTAATTAGCTGCGTTATTCAAAAGTCATTTAGGATGTCGAAATACCATTTTCAAAAAATATACGAACAGCCGTGTATTTTTTATTGGATACTTTTTTTATCAGAGATAAAGGTCTCTGTGGTCGTGCAAATCGTAATCATATTCTAAAGAGGTATCGCTCTATTTAAGATATTACTTTATCTTAACACCTATACATTTCTAGGAATATGATTGGTTAAAAGCAACCGCGTGGAGACCGTGTATTAGTATATTCCATATTGGTCTAGTAGGCGGGGCTTATTTCACTACACAGTAATGGTGCTTCGTTCCTTTAAAAAAACACGGTGTTGAGGAAAAATCTTAAAAGATTTCAACAGACGAAGAAATTGATGATGAACGATTGTAATAAATTCATAAAACACATTTAAAGCTAACAAGTCGTTATTGGTGGCATTTGTTTTTGTATAGACAAAATGGAAGAAGGTTCTTAATACTAACGGTAGTGAAGACTTGATCACTTTGATAGGCTACTAGTCTAAATACCACATGTTAAGATAGTCGGTAAGATAAATTCGTTACATAGTGTGCTAGTGACCTAATACGATATATATGGGGTCAGTAAATTTCATATGAAGATCCGAGCTCCGCTCTCACCCCATAGGGAATTTACTGACCCCATATATATCGTATTAGGTCACTAGCACTCTATGTAACTAATAATATTCGACTTTGGTGGGAAAATAAACGTTAAGTTTTGAAGCAAAACAAATCACCATTTTAGTAACAAAACACAAAGTAGACATTGGACTGCTCCGATGCAGGTTACTTTTCAAAATAGGAGATGTTTGTTCATTCCAGTTCTAAGGTGTAAAGGTAGTTCAAACATAACTTACAAAACTAGGAATATCCTGTGCCAGCCTGGAAAACTAGGCCCCTTGTGAGCTGAAGGGGATACTGCAAAGGTATGGAGGTCGGCCAATGCGTCGTATTTGTTTGGTGGAACACTCTGTTAACAGGTTAGCAAACATGAATACAACATTGTATTTACAATCGAAACTGTGTCGTTAAAAAATCACAGGGCCTGCTGGCTCACCTGGATATAGGCTCATGTAGGCGAGTTCCGCTAAACTATTTCAGAAAAGGGCCATTTTCGAAAAGATTTCAATTTATTAGTTATTCGTAGTACCATGTCTTTTTAATTATTCTTGTGTACGAAGAAGATTTTGACACAATTCTGAAACTTGTACCCCAAATATAGATAATGACAGAAAACTCAAAACTGCAATTTTTAAAGTTTTCTGACAATTTCAGGTATTTATATAAAAAAGAGATTGAATCAGAAGGTTTTTCTAACCTAAAAGATGGTTGAAAATTGACGCACAATATGTATTCTGGAAGTGAAGCATGTAATGTCTTTCATATACAAATCTTGAAATTTATGTCCTTCGATGTAAGATTTTATATAGACAAGACAAGTATCAAAAACAGATATGCAATATTGTATGAAAAATGTTTAGAACAGCACTGTAAAATATATCTAGATAATATGGTGATATGCAAAATTGATTTAAAACTTTTAGATATATAATTTCGAATCTTTAATACCTATATAATCAACTTCTCGATCTCGATCATGTTAGATAAACAAAAAACAAACAATGCCAGTGTTTATAACTGCATCTTATCTTGCAGTTCTAAAATTTCTGCCCAGGATGTGATTTTTCATCAGTATGTGTATGTGCAGTTTCTTTTTCTCTTTTTGTGCCTGTTGGTTGTGATACGAAAAGATTTATAAAACTATTTATGCTAAAGGTATAGTGTAGGCATACAGTAAAATTGATTAACTTACAGTATCTAGTTTTAGCATCTGAACAGCTTTATGAAAGTCTTCTCTTTCTTTGTCAGATAACCGTCGATATTCCTTTCTAACACTCTTAGTGATTCCTAGTGGTTTCATGGGAAAAAATGGTGACAAAAGTCTGTAGACATATTCATAGATTTTAGGGCTTATTGTATTTGTGTAGTTGGAACTATTCTCCCAGTTGAAAAAATCCCAGCAGAATTTGTGTACAGAAACTTGTTGAGTAGTGATTCGGTCGTCAAAAGTTTTCAGACATTCTATCATCGCCGGTGGAAGATCTTCTTGTATTAACACGGTTTCCGTCTTCAGAAAAAGAAACCATGCTATAACGATGAACCAAAGCATCTGAAAACATGTCGTAAGATGTAATTAGGGTTGAGTTCTAAAAAGACAAAAAAAAATTAACCCTGTTGTATATTCATTTAACTGCCCAATATCAGGAACCTCATCGTTGTCTTGTGTCATATTAATGGCAATGATGCGTTTTCTTATTTGGAGATGTTTGCGTCATTGGCAGATAGCTTTTATTTATTCACATTTATTTTATACCTGTGCTATTAACTAGTTTGTCATATTGTATATTCACTATTCTATAATCGTTTATTTTTTTAGTTCTTATTTTAATATTTCAAACCCACACAGGTCCTTCCTTCTGTGCATTATATTTGCGCACATTTGGGATTACTTTTTTTATGTTTGCGCGTAGGTTTTGATTACATTTGCGCGCATTCATTTTAAAGTTAACACATTTGAAAATAAAGATAATTTATAATGAATATGACTATAGTTATTAATTTTGAACATATTTGAAAATTTAAATTACATATATATTTCAATTTAGACTTGTTTATATATATAGTCAAATGCGTTCTGTTGAAATATACTTTTTCACTTTTTTGGTCTTTTGGAAAATGTTGTTTATGCTGTATTCAGACCCCTCTAACAAGAAATTTGTTTTGCATGTACACGTATAAAAATTGCGGTTTTTATCCAACGAAATCATAGGTTTGAACGTTGTTTTCAATTTAGACTTGTTTATGTTTTTTCGTTTGGGCTTGTATTATATTTGCTTTCGGGTTTATATGATCCGTTCATCCTATTTTGACTCCTCAAAATTCAAGAGTCTATCCTAAATTGAGGTAAATTGTATAGCTTTCCAAATACCGTTTCGATTCGTAACATCACTGAAGAGACATTAATTGTCGAAATCCGGATATGGTGTACAAAAACCTTTGCACCTTTTGTTTGCAGTATATAATCTTTTCCGCAAGTTTATTGTTTTCTGTTTAGTATTAAATTTGTAAATAAGATCCATTTATTACATCGGTGATCCGTTTATTTGGCAATCGCCAATGGCAGTCAGCAGGGTTTAAGAACATTTGTTGTTCGACCTGCTAGTCAAATGCGTTTTGTTGAAATATACTTTTTCACTTTTTTGGTCTTTTGGAAAATGTTGTTTGTGCTGTATTTAGACCCCTCTAACAAGAAATTTGTTTTGCATGCACACGTATAAAAATGCGGCTTTTATCCAACGCAATCATAGATTTGAACGTTGTTTTCAATTTAGACTTGTTTATTTGTTTTCCTTTGGGCTTGTATTATATTTGCCTTCGGGTTTATATGATCCGTTCGTCCTATTTTGACTCCTCAAAATTCAAGAGTCTATCCTAAATTGAGGTAAATTGTATAGCTTTCCAAATACCGTTTCGATTCCTAACATCACTGAAGAGACATTAATTGTCGAAATCCGGATATGGTGTACAAAAACCTTTGCACCTTTTGTTTGCGGTATATATCATCTTTTCCGCAAGTTTATTGTTTTCTGTTTAGTATTAAATTTATAATTAAGATCCATTCATTACATCGGTGATCCGTTTATTTGGCAATCGCCAATAGCAGTCAGCCTGGTTTTAGAACATTTGTTGTTCGACCTGATAGTCAAATGCGTTTTGTTGAAATATACTTTTTCGGTCTTTTGGAAAATGTTGTTTGTGCTGTATTTAGACACCTCTAACAAGAAATTTGTTTTGCATGCTCACGTATAAAAATTGCGGTTTTTATCCAACCCAATCATAGGTTTGAACGTTGTTTTCAATTCAGACTTGTTTTGTTTATGTTTTTTCGTTTGGGCTTGTATTATATTTGCCTTCGGGTTTATATGATCCGTTCATCCTATTTTGACTCCTTAAAACTCAAGAGTCTATCCTAAATTGAGGTAAATTGTATGGCTTTCCAAATACCGTTTCGATTCCTAACATCACTGAAGAGACATTAATTGTCGAAATCCGGATATGGTGTACAAAAACCTTTGCACCTTTTGTTTGCGGTATATCATCTTTTCCGCAAGTTTATTGTTTTCTGTTTAGTATTAAATTTATAATTAAGATCCATTTATTACATCGGTGATCCGTTTATTTGGCAACTGCCAATGGCAGTCAGCAGGGTTTAAGAACATTTGTTGTTCGACCTGCTAGTCAAATGCGTTTTGTTGAAATATACTTTTTCACTTTTTTGGTCTTTTGGAAAATGTTGTTTGTGCTGTATTTAGACCCCTCTAACAAGAAATTTGTTTTGCATGCACACGTATAAAAATTGCGGTTTTTATCCAACGCAATCATAGGCTTGAACGTTGTTTTCAATTTAGACTTGTATATATATATATATATATATATATATTCAAAATCCAAGAGTCTATCCTAAATTGAGGTAAATTATATGGCCTTCCAAATACCGTTTCGATTCCTAACATCACTGAAGAGACATTAATTGTCGAAATCCGGATATGGTATACAAAATTTTTTTCACCTCATGTTTGCGGTATACCATCTTTCCCGCAAGTTTATTGTTTTCTGTTTGGTATTAAATTAATATTAAGGATCCATTTTGTTACATCTTGTGATCCGTTTATTTGGCAATCGCCAATGGCAGTCAGCAGGGTTTAAGAACATCCGTTGTTCGACCTGTTAGTCAAATGCGTTTTGTTTAAATATACTTTTTCACTTTTTTGGTCTTTTGGAAAATGTTGTTTGTGCTGTATTTAGAAACTTCTACGAAGAAATTTGTTTTGCATGCACACGTATAAAAATTGCGGTTTTCATCCAACGCAATCATAGGTTTGAACGTTGTTTTTAATTTAGACTTATATATATATATATATATATATAACAAGTCTAAAAGGGTACAACATCACCAAAAGATAATTAAATCATGAACAAATTTTAGATATTTCGGATAACTAATATCCTTCATCAGTAAGATGTAAAATGAATCTTATCTTGACATGTGGTAGTCAAACTGAAATAAAAATCTTGAATGCTATACAAATTATCAATAATCAATACGCTGGTAATTTTTTTTTAATATTGATGTTTGGGAGGAGGAATAAATTTCTTAAAACTGTAAGAGTCCAAAACGGAAGCCTGAGTTACTGGAAAGGGAAAATGAGTGACACATTCTATGTTTTTTTTTTCATTTATGCCCTCTGGGGAAACTATCCTAAGCTTTCTTATCCAAAACCTTTCCCGAGCAAGTCTGTCGGCCCTTGACCAACTCTCGTTGTGGTCTATGATAGTGATGGTAAGGTTTTTGAGATCAGCTTGGGCGTGCCCAGGTGATCTCAAATGACGGCTTAATATCATATATATCATTCATGATTTTTTTTTCAGTTTGACTACCACATGTCAAGATGATTTAAAATAATTTTTTTGGTGATGTTGTACCCTTTTAGACTTGTTATACATTATATTTTGTAGTGTACTGTATCATAATTTTATGATCCATCGCCCCGTAAGATTTTTCGTTGGCTATTATTCGGTCATTTTATATAGATATATATATATATATATATATAACTATAGTCATATTCATTATAAATTATTTTTATTTTCACCTGTGTTACCTGTAAAAAAAATATAAAATGATCATTAAAAAAATCTCGTAACAGCTTAAGGCATATATCTAACTTAATTGCGAATATTTCAGTGTGAAAATTTTTCCTAATTTTACAGAATGGTGATTGCTTTAGTAAATGATTTGAGTAAGCTTGTAAAGTTGCGTCAAGGCACAAACATGGAGTTAAGTTTGTCAAAACAAATCAGGCAAGAGATCATTAGTGTACGATCAATATTCAACAGTCATCCTGAATGGTACACGAGTCCGATTCTTTGAAACGATAGTAAAAGAATTTCTTTTTTTTTTCTATTTTTATAGTTGCCCTCTGGATGTCTTTCGATAATTTGTGTCGTTGGGTTTCTGTCTCTTTGACGTATACCACATATTTCCTTCTAATCATACATATTTTTAGATGCATATTCATATCGTGAAAATTGGTTAAGCGTTAGTAAAATATGTCCATCGATTAAAGCTAATAAGCTCAAAATCAAAAAGCGTTTCTAATGTATTTATTCTACATTAATGCATTTTAAAAAGCATTAGTTAGTTTCTAATTTTCTTCCTTAAGACCATTTTTAAAAGAAAGTGTCGAAAATGTAAAATGTGCAAATGTATGACAATATACTTTTGAAAGTAACTCTATTTTCTCTCTTTTCTGAAAGTAAAGTTTAACGGAGTCAAACTAAAGATCTGCCTCAATTATTTTTAGCAAATTCTCTTTTTTGAATTGTTTCAAATTTTGTCATGCCGGTGCCATTTGTAGCCTACTATGCTATATGGGTTTTGCTCATTGTTAAAGACCGTATGGTGATCTATAGTTGTTTGAATACTCGTCCTTTGGTCAGTGGCGGATAGTTGTCTTGTCGGCAGTCATGCCATATCTCCTTATTTTTATAACTTGTTTTCATTTCTATATAGCTATCTGCAGACTATAGTAGTTAACAAAATCTTCCGAAAGCTTTAATGTGTAATTTCAGATAGGCTCGTTTTTGGTATGACAAATTTTGATTATCTATGTCGTTGGACTGATGTATCATTGGCGTAATACCCCCTCCCCCTTTTCCCCCATCATTTTTTTTGTACACATTTGATATTTATATTCAATCAATTTTAGAACTCTTTTTAATAAGTCAAATTAACGTTGCATAATCTTAGCATGCTCAAAATTTTAACTATTTTTCCATTTGATGATTTCAAGTATCTCAACAATATCTAATCAATCGTTTGCTGTATTTTTTAATCTTAAATTCTTATGTGCCATTTTTCCTGTTGAAAATGTGCAGGTATTTTTTTAATTATACGAAGAGATAAATTGATAATGTTCCTTATAAGGATAATGCAGATTAATTTGATTTTATTATTATTATGACTAATATTAATCTTATTATCATCATTATTGTTTATGATATTAATAATGATAACAATGAGATAACAATAACAATTACAACAACAACAATAATAATAATAATAATAATAATAATAATAATAATAATAATAATAATAATAATAATAATAATAATAATAATTCGTTAATTATGAAATTATAGAAAACTTTATTTTGTACTCGTATACTGAAAAATTGCACTTAAATGAATGGCAGTGACTTATAGTTATCACTATGACTGGTCTTCACTCTTTCCTATAGAAATCGTACAATAACTCGAGTTTGCCTTGAACAATTTGAATTTATGTGAATTTTTAAAAACATGGTTCCTCAATGAAATAAACATAATAGTTATTGAAGAACTGGTCATTATCGTGATACATGGACTGCCCGTACGGCTCAGTCATTGTCGCTTTCTTAGTCAATACCACTGTCCTGTGGGCAGTCCATATATCACGATAATGACCAATTTTTCATTAACTATTATGTAAATATTTTAAAGTTCCAGTAAGATAACAATATTTTCCGTTAATATCCGAAATTAATTAACAGTTATTATTCCACTTATTTAAAATGTCTGACCAAAAAAACTGATAAGACACAAAAAACAAAAACGTAAACTCCGCTGCAAAATATAAATTTACCTTATCTAATCTAATGAAATGAAAAAGCTGCTTTATCCGAATTCAATTTCAATGTAAACATGTTAATCCATCCCATTTATTATATTTTGCGTTATTTCAGCATTTCCATCCCACGGTATCTAGCTAATATAAAGAAGAAAAAAAACCCGAAGTTTTATCGATAAATGCAAGGTGTTTCAAACATTATTAGCTAAGTTACAAATTGTATTCGTACGACTTTTAAGAAGTTATAAGTATATTCCACGTCGCAAGATTTCCTTTACATCTTATTTTAAGTGGGTTGTAATTATTTGTATATTTATATAGAAATTTAACAATCACCATATCAAACATGCTCAATGGTTCATACAAGTTACAATTTAATCTTAAATGCTGGAAACAAATTAGTATGGATTTTCATTTCTAACTGGCTTAATGTTTCGCATGTAGGGTCTATTTGGAACAAATTATATAAAAGAACGCTCGCATTATCTGATTCGTGGAAGCAATCTCTAATTGGTATCTCGCGGATATGAACTCCATATACATTCGGATACTGTTCATACAGGAGATTTCATACAGCACCGGCACACACTATTTTTTACAATGCCCAGAACAAACCTGTACAAAGTTTCAATGCAGAAAAACAAACAGAGCTTATGCATTTGGGAAGTTTTAATTAGCGATTTAATGTTTACCCCATGAAAAACCTGAGGACAAAAAATCCGAAGGAATATTGGAAAATTTTAATAGGGGAGGGAAAAGAAAGAAACCTAACATAGCATTAGATGTACTATTTGACTTTTTCAAAAATTTAAATAACGCCGAGAATACAAATGACGTCACAACTGAGCCGAGTAACATTCAAGGTGTAAATGAAGTTTTGAATTCAGAAATTACCGCAAAAGAGATTAGCAAGTGTATACGAGAATTGAAAAACGGAAAGGCCAGTGGCGATGATTTAATAATCAATGAATTTATTAAAAGCACATCACATATTTTTATACCCGTTTATGTGAAACTTTTTAATATGATTTTTGATTCTGGTACTTTACCTGAAATACGGCTTATGGGAAATATTATACCTTTTCATAAAAACAAGGGTGACCAATCTGATCCCCAAAATTATAGACCAGTTACTATACTCAGCTGCCTGGGAAAACTTTTCACATCTGTCTTAAATTTTAGATTGAGTTCTTTCTTAGAGGATTATTTATTATTAAATGAAAACCAGGCTGGCTTCAGAAAAGGTTATTCCACAGTAGACAATATATTTGTTATTCACATATTATTTGAGTTGCTAAAGAGGAAAAAGAAGAAACTATATTGTGCATTCGTGGACTTTGCGAAAGCTTTTGATACTGTTTGGCGGTCTGGGGCCTGTTTATCGAAACTATCCTAAGATCGGTCCTAAGAATTTCTTAGGACAGAAATTAGGATAAAGTTAGGACCGACTTACGACATGTCTCAGCATGCACATCGAAGTTATCTTAGGATTATCTTAGCTAGGATGTCCTAACCGCTGTCCTAGGTATTGGCGTTAAAGAAAATAACAAATTAAAAATGAAAAAATGAAAATATTGTATCAAATTTAACCAATAACTGTAATTCAAAAAAAGATAAATAATTAGAAAATAATTATTTGTTTTAACTTAAAGGTGATAAATACTTTTTATATTATATTTGTACATTTAAACTCATAACACAAAACATAAGACAAAAAATATAACTACGTTTTATATAAGAATTGAAACAAACGAATTGTAAATAGTTAAAATAAAATATATAATCGGTAAAATCATTATATGCTTTGAGTGAGCTGAATTCGAAGTGTCACGGTTTCATACTTAAAAGTTCAAAGGCAAATCTCGTGCATCTTTCATATAAATACTGAGTACTTCAACTATTTTATTACTACAAATAACATGCGATGATACTTGTGAATATAAGAGACGAAATTCGAATTCTACCGATGCAAAACTACAACTCTCCTGGACGACGTGGACAAGGGTAACACTTTGTTTTTTGGTAAATTGTCAAATGTTGCAACAAATGGTGCTGAAAAGAGGGATAGGGATTTAATATGCATTAAGGGAACTACCATTTGATTTTTATGGGGGGGGGGGGGGGGGGGGACTAGGTTTAAATTTGAAAAAAGGCAGGACAGGAGTTTGGAGTAAAAAAAAGGCAGGATGAGCAACTTTGCAAAAAAAAGCAAGATGACAATTTATGTTAAAAAAAGGTCAGGATGAACTAATAAAATAATGGCAGGACAGGAGTTTGGAAGTAAAAAAAATGCAGGATGAGGAACTTTGCGAAAAAAAAAGCAGGATGACAATTTACATGTATGTAAAAAATAGTCAGGATGAACTGATAAAAAAAGGCAGGACCGAATAGAGTGAAATATAAAAAGGAAGGACAGAGATTACAACAACAAAAACAGCAGAACAATATTTTTCATCCTAGGCACCCCCACCCCCCTTACCCACCCATCCACCCACCCCCGTCATAAAAATCAAATGGTACTTCCCTAAAGTAAATGCAACCAATACAGGCCATATTTAGTTATAAAACAACCATCCTAAATATATCCTAAAGTAAGGACCATCCTAAGACCATCTTAAGACAGCTAAATTTGTATCCTAAAGTTAGGACAATTCCTAGGATTTTCCTAAGTAACGACATGTTTGATAAACCCACATAGGATTAAGATATGTCCTAAGTTGGTCTTAGGACACGTCCTAATCCTAAGACTGCTTCGATAAACAGGCCCCTGGTCTCTGGTCAAAACTTATAAAACACTCGATTAACGGAAAGATGTATAACGTTATTGTCAACATGTACAATAATATCAAATCACGTATTCACTTTGGATCATTTTTTCTGAATTTTTCCCTAGTTCCATTGGTGTTAGGCAGGGAGAGAATCTCTCTCCTTTGCTTTTTTCCATTTATCTAAACGATCTGGAATTGTTTTTACAGAATAATAACATAGAAGGTTTGTGCACTATCTCTGATGAGTTAAAAATAGAGTTAAATGTTTATTTAAAATTGTTTGTCATTTTATATGCTGACGATACTGTCTTGATGGCAGAATCTCAGATAGATTTACAAAGACAACTGGACTCCTTATATGAATATTGTGAGTTATGGAAACTTAGAATAAATGTGCAAAAAAGTAAGATTGTAATTTTTTCACAAGGTAGACTACCGCAGAATATTGTTTTTAGTATGATTATATAATACTAGATATTGCGAGTGAATTTACTTATCTTGGTGTATTACTGTCTAGGTCAGGAAATTTTTCAAGAGCTAAAAAAAAAGCAATGTGAAAAAGCAACACATGCTATGTACGATATTATTCGAAAAGGTAGAGTACATAATCTGTCAATTGAATGCCAACTTGATCTATTTGATAAAATTGTGAAACCAATACTTCTGTATGGGTGTGAAGTTTGGGGTTTTGGAAATAATTCAATAATCGAGAGGGTTCATATTAAATTTTGTAAAATATTACTTGGAGTAAAAAAGTCTACTTCTGATTTTATGATCTATGGTGAATTGGGAAGATATCCATCAGATATTTCAATCAAGTTACGAATGATAAATTATTGGTTCAAGTTGGTAACTGGAAAACATGACAAATTGCCTTATATTTTGTATAACTTAGCAACTGTCAAATATGGTACAAATATTTTATGGTTAAAACAAGTCAAATCAATTTTAGACACGTGTGGCTTGTCATATGTATGGGACAATATCTATTTTGTAATTAAAACATGGCTAACAAGCCTACAGGAATCACCAAAAGCATTAAATTATCGTTTATTTAAAGATACTTTGGAGTTTGAGAAATATTTAAATATTTTGGATGACAGGCAGATACCTTATTTCTTAAATTTCGAACTTTGAACATGAAATTTCCAATAGAAACTGGAAGATGGCAAAACATAGAAAGAGAAAACAGAACATGTGTATTGTGTAATTCAGATGCCATAATCATTGGTGATGAATACCATTACATTTTTAATTGTTCAGCTTTTGATAACTGTAGAAAACAATGTATTGATTTTACTATACAAATAAACCAAACACATTGAAGTTTTATGACTTAATGAATTCTAAAAAATGTACAGAACTGAACGAACTATGTAAACTTATTAAGGAGATCAATAACAAATTGAACTTTTCTGGGTGAAGAATTGTGAATGCCTCCATCTACTTTCGTACATTATTTATTTATGTAATTGTATTGAAATATGTATAATTATCTCTATACCTTTGTAATTTGGTTTGTGAGAATAAAGATATATAGATTAAATGTTTTCGTAATTAAGACAATTGAGTGTTAATCTTTGATTGCTTGTGCTTAATTTAATCGCAACTTGTATAGACTCCGGATGATTTAGAGCTTGACATATTGTATGTACCTGTCTATTGCCGAAGACTGAATGTTGCCCTCCAGATGTCGTTGTGTTGTTTTTGTCGTTGTACTGCTGTCTCGTTGACGTAAACCATATATTACCTTAAATCCATATCAAAAGACAAGCACCAAATCACTTAAATTAAATTCCTGCAGGTGGAATCATTTTACTCAATAAAATCTCTATATTCAATTGGGAATAAAATTTACAATAAAAAAAAAATATATATTTATATAAGATGTTTTTTTGCAAGTATCTTTTGTTAATGTCGTTGCATATTGTCCACATAGAAAATTGCTGTCAGAATTTAAAAAAATTGTAATTGTAAACCATTATATGATAAAGCTTTTAATACATTTTCATTTTGCTCATGACTTGATATACACATGATATCATTAAAACATGCACGTAACAGTTTAACCCACTCTCTAACATATGTAGCGGTGTAACAGCGATACAACGTTACAAACAGAAAAAAATTAAGTTTAGTAAATGTAGGAATAATTTTTGAATGTACTTTTTTTTAATCGCAAGCTTTAAACAAATAGTTTTCAAGCATATTATTTTCATATTCATAATTTCGTAACAAAGTAACTCCAAACTTCAATCCAGTGAATCGTTGCTTTTTTTCTAGTACATATTTGGAGAGTTAAACGTAAAAATTATCTCTATTTATGCTTATTTTTTCTTATGAGTTAATGCGTTAACCATTTTGTTTTTTTCTTTACAGAGCTTAAATTGAATTGACACTTCACGATGACGGTTGCTGTGCATTGTGACGTTGCGTCGTACACTTAGTAACGTTAGAGGTCTATATATCGTCGTCGCCTATTCAGCTGTGTTGTGTATAGATTGAGAAGGCTTTCAAGATGATGAAATTATTATTGAAGACTATAATTGCTGCGGAAACTAAAATTCCATCACCGCCAGCGGAGGAACCCAGTCCATCACTGGTCAGCATTTCTAAATCTGATGTGATAAAACCCCAAGGTAAATTATTTATTCAAATAGAAACTCATTATTGGTTGCCCTAAGTTATATATTTGATTTATCTTTAAACAAAATTGTTGATGGTAGCAAATCCCATCTACTTTTGAAGAAAAAAGTCTCCTTTTAATCATACAGTGGTGCCTCAACTCTTAAGAGACTACTTAATATTAATAGTAATAATCTTTTATTCAAAAGCAATACAGCTTATAGAATTTACATATATAGAATATAATAGCATCAGTGATTAGTTACATATGTGTTTTACAATTACAAGCAAGTTTGAATCATCGGCGAAGAATAACAACAAATAATATAAATAATGAAATATGAGCATTATATTATGAATAACGAATCTTATCAGCTAAATAAAGGTACTTACCTAGATTGTTAAGCTCTTAAATTATTAACAGACAATAATTGTATAAATTTATAACAAGATGGTTTTTTTTCCAATAAAATGGTTTTACAAATTTTTTCTATTTACTAAGATATAATGGTATTCATCTACAATCAGATGTTTACCACACAATCTGTTTTCTCTTTCAATATTATAAAATCTACCGGTTTCAATGTTAAGGCAGTGTGCAGACAATCTATATCTACAAATATATGGCTTATACACATATTAACCAGTTTTTATACGGTCCTACGACCGCAAAACATTTTTGCGGTCGTATATTGGTATGACGTTGGCGTCGTCGTCATCGTCGTCGTCGTCCGGCGTCGTCGTTGTCGTCGTCGTCGTCGTCGTCCGAAGACACATTGGTTTTCGCACTCTAACTTTATTTTAAGTGAATGGATCTCTTTGAAATTTTACCATAAGGTTCAATACCACAAAAGGAAGGTGGGGATTGATTTTGGGGGTTATGGTACCAACAGTTTTGGAATTAGGGGTCAAAAAGGGGCCAACAATAAGCATTTTCTAGTTTCCAGACAATAACTGTGGAACGGTGTATGGATCTCTCTGAAATTATACTACAAGTTTCCATACCACAAAGGGATGGTTAGGATTTGCTTTGGGGGGTTATGGCTCAAACCGTTTAGGAATTAGGGGTAAAAAGGGGGAAAAACAAGGTTGTCCTGGTTAATGGACAAATACTTTAGTACATTTTGTACAAAACATAATTTAAAGCAGTGTAAGGGAGATAAATCAAATACATCATTGAAATTATCTCCCTTACACTGCTTTTAAATTATGTATAAAGTAATGGTTAATGAACAATTAAGATAATTTAAAACAGTGTAAGGGAGGTAATCCAAATACAACGTTTTGGTTACTTCCCTTACACTGCTTTTAAATTATGTTTAAAGAAATGCATATTTATAAAGGAAGGCCAGTAAAAATATCTGCAAATGTTGCATCTTTTTTTTTTTACAAAAAAATCCATATGAAAGATTTGACACTATATTTTAAATTCTATTATAAAATAGATTAAGTTAGCACTATGGTAAATTTAAATGGGTAATTATGGTTGCAAACTCCATTGGAAATTTGAATTGAGATTATGACCATATCTTGAGGGAAAGAATTTTTTGGGGGAAAAAAAGGGGCCGGGGGGGGGGGGAGGGGTAAAAAGAAATTGTGGGGTCTTTTTTTCTCATTTCAGATTTCAGAAATTAAAAAGAATTATTCTTCAAATATTATTTTTTTTTCAAATTTCAAATATTGAAAAATTTCAAGAAGTAATCTTTAATTGCACAGTATGACGCATTAGATTTGTAAAATCTTTGACCACATTTATTTATGTGTTATGCCGAATCTAACCTTGTATTTATACTTTTAATTTTGGGTCCAGTTTTCAAATTGGTCTACATTAAGGTCCAAAGGGTCCAAAATTAAACTTTGTTTGATTTTAACAAAAGTTGAATATATGGGGTTCTTTGATATGCTGAATCTAAACATGTATTTAGATTTTTGATTTTTGGCCCAGTTTTCAAGTTGGTCCAAATTGGGGTCCAAAATTAAACTTTGTTTGATTTCAACAAAAATTGAATATATGGGGTTCTTTGATATGCTGAATCTAACCATGTATTTAGATTTTTTATTTGTGGACCCCGCTATCAAATTGGTTCATATTGAGGTCAAAAGGGTCCAAAATTAAACTTCGTTTGATTTCATCAAAAATTGAATTATTGGGGTTCTTTGATATGCCAAATCTAACCGTGTATTTAGATTTTTAATTTTGGGTCCTGTTTTTTTAAATTGGTCTACATTAAGGTCCTAAGGGTCCAAAATTATACTTAGTTTGATTCTAACAAAAATTGAATTCTTAGGGTTCTTTGATATGCTGAATCTAAACATGTGTTTAGATTTTTTATTATGGACCCAGTTTTCAAGTTTGTCCAAGTTGGGGTCCAAAATTAAACTTTGTTTGATTTCAACAAAAATTGAATATATGGGGTTCTTTGATATGCTGAATCTAAACATGTATTTAGATTTTTGATTTTTGGCCCAGTTTTCAAGTTGGTCCAAATTGGGTTCCAAAATTAAACTTTGTTTGATTTCAACAAAAATTGAATATATGGTTTTTTTTTATATGCTGAATCTAACCATGTATTTAGATTTTTTATTTGTGGGCCCGCTATCAAATTGGTTCATATTGAGGTCAAAAGGGTCCAAAATTAAACTTTGTTTGATTTCATCAAAAATTGAATTATTGGGGTTCTTTGATATGCCAAATCTAACCGTGTATTTATATTTTTAATTTTGGGTCCCGTTTTTTAAATTGGTCTACATTAAGGTCCAAAAGGGTCCAAAATTAAACTTAGTTTGATTTTAACAAAAATTGAATTCTTGGGGTTCTTTGATATGCTGAATCTAAACATGTGTTTAGATTTTTGATTATGGGCCCAGTTTTCAAGTTGGTCAAAGTTGGGGTCCAAAATTAAACTTTTTTTGATTTCAACAAAAATTGAATATATGGGGTTCTTTGATATGTTGAATCTAACCATGTATTTAGATTTTTTATTTGTGGGCCCCGCTATCAAATTGGTTCATATTGAGGTCAAAAGGGTCCAAAATTAAACTTCGTTTGATTTCATCAAAAATTGAATTATTGGGGTTCTTTGATATGCCAAATCTAACCGTGTATTTAGATTTTTAATTTTGGGTCCTGTTTTTTAAATTGGTCTACACTAAGGTCCAAAGGGTCCAAAATTAAACTTAGTTTGATTTTAACAAAAATTGAATTCTTGGGGTTCTTTGATATGCTGAATCTAAACATGTGTTTAGATTTTTGATTATGGGCCCAGTTTTCAAGTTTGTCCAAGTTGGGGTCCAAAATTAAACTTTGTTTGATTTCATCAAAAATTGAACATATGGGGTTCTTTGATATGCTGAATCTAACCATGTATTTTGATTTTGGACATTGGACCATAATAGGTAAATTAAAAAAATTCAAGTTCTTAGACCACATTCTTTCTGTGTCAGAAACCTATGCTGTGTCAAATATTTAATCACAATCCAAATTCAGAGCTGTATCAAGCTTGAATGTTGTGTCCATACTTGCCCCAACTGTTCAGGGTTCGACCTCTGCGGTCGTATCAAGCTGCGCCCAGCGAAGCATTTTATTGTATATATAATGTTAAGTATTTGGATCGTGTATTATACCTATAAAATTGACATTTTGGTGACTCGTTGAAAAAAGCATTCATCTCACTCACAAAACTAATTTGCGTTCTATTAACAATTTCTTGCAAAAACAAATCAATATTAATAACATTTTAGTGTAGCCATACATCTTGACAACCATAACGAGATATAATGTTTCTTATTTCACATGCTCAATTTCGTTTTTCACCGAGGTTTGTAAAAATGACCTTTCTAACATTTCTTGATAGCAATGTATAGTTATCCGTGTTTAAAAATTTACACCAATATTAAGGGATTCTGCAATATCTCTTTATATACAAAGGGTATCTACCTAACTCACTATAGACATGTAATTAACAGTAGATGTTTTAACTTTTAGTATGCGTTTTAAAAAGCTTTGGTGAACTTTCTCAATATTTTCGGCTTTATGATGTCCCCAGACTTCACAACTATAATTCAATATACTAGATACATGTATGTTAAAAAGAGAGATAACATTGTTTCATGGTTAAAACAATCGTCATATAGTTTACTATATAAACTAAATAATGCTTTTCTACCCTGGTAATTGCTAACATTTTTTGTGTATGTACAAAGTTACCATTGTATTTAAAAAGTATGCCAAAATATGTAAATTCATCACATAATTCAATATCAACACCACTTAAATACCATTTTCAGTCGCTTAAACTTGGCCTCTATTCCTATATACAATCATTTTGGTTTTGGACAAGTTAATATTCAAATCATATACTCTCTAGGATATATGTGTACACTATATATCAGCTTTTGTAAACCATCAATAGTTTTACTAAATAAAACAGTATCATCTACATACATAAGTAAATATAAATTGAGCATCTTTAACAAATAAGACTGACAATCTTGACGTATAAGCTCAGTTTCAATGTCATTAATATACAAAGAATATAAAAAGGAGATAAAGATTCTCCTTGCATCAATCCAACATTACTTTGGGAGAAATTTCCCTCCAATATAAAACAACATTTAATTTTTGCATCCATAGATTTAATAACAGTTAATAGGTTTCCACTTATACCACACCTGATTAATCTTAACCACAGTTTGAAATGGGATACACTATCAAAAGCTTTTTTTATAGTCTATGAAACAGCAATAGTTTTACAATCTTTTTCCACTACGTAAAGACTTAGAAATTAAAAGGAATGCACTAGTTATATTTCATAATTTCAAACATGCAAACTGCTACAAAATGCAAGGTCAGAGGTTGCAATCCTGACTATATCTGTACAAAAAGTGTTTATTTACATTTGTCTATTTTCAATGATATTTGATCATTTGATGGACGAAAATTACCCACTATGGTATGCATCAGAGAGGTGCAAAAGTTTACCGTATGGTTAAAACGGATGACAAATCTGATATCTTAGATGAGTTTGGTAGCATGATATGCAAAACGTTTTTTAAAAAATATACATATATCTGTTTTAACCATCTTAGGGAATTCTTCAGGACTTCTTTCCTTTATCAATTTTGCCACCAATATATATTTAACTTTTAATTTTAGAAACAATTTCAAACTTCCGGCTATCTACATTTTCAGCAGGAAGGGATGTTTTATAAGAATTAAAATCCTGTAGTTTTTTTTTTCTCTGGCGATCGGAGCTTGCGCTGAAATTTTATATTTTCTCGGACTTTCCGAAACGGTTATCCTTACTATCAACTTTAGTCGTAAGATTGTTTTATGAAACTGATCACTGATACTCTAAGTACTGTCGGAGCTTTAACACAACTGCAAACATAATCTCACTATAAATGGTGTACATTCGGAGCATTAACACAACTACAAACATAATCTCACTATACATGGTGTACATTCGGAGCATTAACACAACTACAAACATAATCTCACTATACATGGTGTACATTCGGAGCATTAACACAACTAGAAACATAATCTCACTATACATGGTGTACATTCTGAGCATTAACACAACTACAAACATAATCTCACTATACATGGTGTACATTCGGAGCATTAACACAACTACAAACATAATCTCACTATAAATGGTGTACATTCGGAGCATTAACACAACTACAAACATAATCTCACTATACATGGTGTACATTCGGAGCATTAACACAACTAGAAACACAATCTCACTATACATGGTGTACATATTTTGCATGTGATCAAATAACACTATTCTATTCATTTTCTAGTAAACAGAACAGCTATGGGTGAATATATAGTGAATCCTGGTGAAAAACCACTGACTTCTTTAGGTATGATAATCATTCATTTTATATTGGTCGACTTTTTGCAATATTTTTTTTCTTTCTTGAAAAGACAAACATAAAAGTGTGTGTCATCTGGAATACCGGTAATGTTTTGATATCGGTTGTGACATTGTCAATACGGTGCAGAAGATGGGGATATAGACAATGAATACATGAGATGACGAACATTTTGTTGTAGTTTCTACAGTATGCCGTTTCATGACAAGCAAGATATTTATTCGAATTATTAAGCTTATATGGAATGGCTATTTATTTTATATAGAGCGATACGACTTTATGTGTGTGTGTTTGATTAAGATTAACATAAACTCTAATAAATTGGTAAGCCATGACGCAGATATAATATTTTCCGTAACATTTTGTTGAATATGTCTTTTTTCGTCACACATGGACAAATGTGTTGCCTCTACACTGGTTTCAGTTTCTAGTATTCTTGATAAACCTTCTATTTGTTCTTCCAAACTGGTACCGAACTAGTTCGAAATCTAAACTTCTTTAACGTTTGTTTCTTGGAAATTGAAACCAGTTTCCTAAACTTATCAAACCTCCCCTTTTGGTTTGAACAGCTTATCAAATCATTATTAAAACTTTTGATTTGATTAGAATCTGGTAAAGCGAAACCGATTTTAAACCAAATCATTCGAAACCAGAAGCTGTAATCTGAAACGAGTTTGCCTGAGACAAATACGCCCTTTATATATGCTAATGAAGTTACCCTATTTTCAATTTATGTTTTATATATATTGTTTTTTTAACCTTTGGGAAATTGGTGTATTCGAAATAAAGTTGCAACATTTGTACCGAGAGGACAAATGAGATGATTCAATTTAAAATAAAAAAAAGCATGATTAAATGAAATCAAAGGACAACCTAAAAACCATAAGTCGAAGAAAAATAGACAACTCCAATCTAATTAAAATTCATATCTATATTAACTGGCGTGCTATGAGGATAACGAAATCAGAGAACTATATTTTGATTAGATTGAGACAACCCCATTGTAAAAAAAAACCCACAAACAATCAAATTACAAACAACAGTAAAAAAACACTATTTGAAAACATTAAAATTAAGCACCGCGAATCCTATCAATAACCGGGGGGTGAACTCATGTACTCAAGCCTGAGGGTAAGCAGTTCCACTTGTGGTACCCGTCGTGCTGCTCATGGCAAATACAATACCTTTCAAAAGTCGAATTTTGTTATGTCACAATTGAGGAAAAGTGGACGGGATTGCGGCAACGCACAAATCAGAAATAACTTTGATATCACAAATGATCTTACATATTTTTGCACACTGGAAATAATAGAAAGTCATGTCTAGCTTCATATTTCTTCTCTTTATATCATAAAATTTCGGTGAGCTTTTAAGTTACAGGAAATCTTATTTTTCCACTAAAGATCACCACAAATAAAATTTAACATTTATATATTAAATTTTGAGCAAAATTAAATGATCCAAAAATAAAACGAAATTCGATACATTTGTTTATATCTTGACATTCACGCAGACAAAAGAAAACATATTTAACAAATCTAGATTAAAATCCTATCGAATTCACAAAAGAAAAGTTTACATTTTTCATGGTGCATTTGTTTCCTTTGTAAATGAGAAATGATCTAATTTTTAGTTTGACGTTTCATTTTTTGGTATATTGTGGAATAACTAACAACTAAGGTAACATATACACATTTCTTTTCATTTTAATTCTATAAAGAGCATTTTCGAAAAGTTCATACTTTTAGTAATAACATATATGGATGATACAGTTTCCCTATCTTATGATTACTTCATGCCTTCCCTAGGGAGAGATAAAATATGAGCACTTAATTTTTAACATTTATTCCAAGTGTTTAAGATTACGATATATTATCCGTTGCGTCAACTCCTATTTTCTATATAAAAAAGTGGATCTCAGTTTTACTTTTTTGTTTTTATCAAAATTAATGACAAGTTCAACAATCTTTCAGAATTATTTTAGCCATCTATAACTCCATATAAAACTTGTTTCGATAGCTCAGTTGTGACATAACATATTTGCGTCTATTTACCTTTTGTAATTCTGCGTTTTTAAAATTTCATGGAAATTCTGCTGATATCTTATGAAAAATGACATAAAGATTAGTTGAAAAGACCCAAACAGTATTTGGTTACCACTCACAAATAAAATGTGCATTCAAATTTCAGGAATAACTCTATTCAAAGGCGAATTCATTCGCTTAACGGTTTTGATTAATGATTTAGAGGACGAACTTATATCAATTATACCTTGTTTATAAGAACGCGACATCAATATATGCATTTCATTATTTCTTTTTAATTCTGTGTTGATGTTCTCAAAATGTAGATATTTGCACATTAGTCCGAGATTACTCTGACGTCCAACGGCTGTTTTGCCAGACAAGCTGGGGCTCGTCCCACATATCAAAAAGTGGATATTTGCCCGTCCAAAATGCATGCGCCGCTTTGTTGCTTCTGGAGCCGACTGACGGCCTTGGATCCATATAAATCGGGCCTCAGTTTGTTCATTTTTCATTTATCTCTTCATTTATGCAAGATTCAACTACCTGCCACCCTTTATTTTCTCATATTTGGACAGTTTTCACATTGACCCATCGATTCCTGCATTTTTACTTTTTGTAAAATGGACGGGCAAATATCCACTTTTTGATATGGGACGAGCTCTGACGTCCCACGGCCACTGCTTGTCTGGCAAAACAGCCGTTGGACGACAGAGTAATCTCGGACTATTCAGTTGCACGTAAGCAAAATAATTTTGCATACATTGTTGATTACCGTTCAATTTAAATCAATTTAATTCACATTCAAATTTTTAAAATATTGTGAATTTATACGTACAAATTTGTTTATTATGAAAGGAACTTAAGTACTATGAAACTAAACAATATGATAATTCGAATGTATAAAGGAGCTGTTTATTCCTATTATTGATTTTGCATACATTTTTATCTGCAGGTAATCCTGGTCCTGGACCAGCAAATTATAACCCATGTCCTAATTTAACGAAGGAGTCTGCTCCCCAGTATTCTATTGTTGGTAAACAGAAAGTAAAGGAACATGGTAAGGATCATTCAGTAACGTACGAATTAAGGTTTACGTCAATAAAAAAAAAGCTCATCAAAGATACCAGAGTTAGAATTTTGTACGTCAGATGCGAGTTTTTTTCTTCAAAGACTCATGAATCAGTGACACTCGAATAAAAAAAAGTTAAAAGACCAATTCTAATATGACGTTCTTCTTTTGCTTTGGATACAATTCGAATAAAACGTTTTTTTTTTTGTTAAACTGTTGATTTTCTATAACGTTTTTGGTTCATCAAATCAAAATGGGTGCCTTTCGAGCGTGTATTATAGGACCGCTTCGAACTTGTGTTCAAAAGTTCAAAATTTACAATTAGAATCGAAATAATTCTATCATGCCATGTTCTATGCTCATTTTAACATGAGTAGGCATTATATATAGATTCTTATCAAAGTAAAATACGGATTTTTTGGAGGTAGCTGAGATGATAACGTGGTAAAAAACTTGTAGTGCCCGTTCCTTCATTGCAATTCGTTTAAAAGACGATTTCTTTTTGACGGCGTCAAATACTTTGAGAATGTGTAATCCACGGTTTACCCCACCCATTACCATGATAGCTGTGCGTTAACGCAGATTAAATTTCCGTTTATCTTTTAAAAAAAATATTCAAACAGACACGATTAATATCTTTGTCTGACTTTGATACGGACAATGCCATTTCTGTGAATAATTTTGTTTTCTGCAGGTCGTTGTTTGTTGAAAAGTCTCCATCTGTAATTGAATAGCAATAACAGGAATACTTTTCTAGTTGAAATATACGCTTTGTAACTTTTTCTGACTTAAAAGGAATTCCGCTATGTTATTTATAGGTAGAGGTTTACCAGGTCCATCTGATTACGGCCCCTCTGGTGACTTAATTTGGAAGAAACAATACGTTATTAAGGGAAGAGCAACCTGCTATTTTGACGAAGAAGGTACAGTAAAACCGAAAATGCATCCAACGCTTACATATGATTAACCCAATTACATATGATTAACCCAATTACATGTGGTTAACCCAATTACATATGATTTACACATGTATATTTACATATGATACACACACTTGCATATGATCCATACACTTACATATGATTTATACACTTACAAATGCATTACACACTTACATGTGTATTAATCATTTACATATGACTTACACATTTACATACAATTTACCCACTTTAATAATATTGGCTCATTTACATATGATTTACACTTTACAGTCGATTTACTCATTTAGCCAAATATTGAAATAGTTTCTTATTGTTAATTAGATTCATCTTTCCTCACAATATTGTCATCGTTACATCTATCATAATTCTAATAATTGTCTTTTCAAAGGTATACTCATATTCCCATCACACGCATGCACACTTGACATTCACTTACTTTAAAACCAAAATGCTCCATTTTTTTCAGAATGTAATTCCTAGTCAGTGATTTAACTCATTAGTCTTGGTGCATTTTTGTTTGCTTTTGAGCTCTACAATTCTCATTTCCAACACTTTTATCATTTTATGTCATCATCATCGCAGCTTCTAAATATTGTACCGTAATTGGACCCGCCAAATATAACGTCAGACATAAGCAGTTTGGATTGGAAGGACTAAAATACAGTATGGCCCACAAACAACCCGGAGATATCATAACTGGACCACCAAACAATATTGTCCAACCATCTGACACACATGGTATGTAAGTCTGCGCTGTTTTTGTTAATTTTTTTTCGGGAATGTAGTTAGTCATAAACAGTAGGTAGTAATCAGCACCATAGTATTGATAGTTTTCATAAACAGTCTACGTTCTAAAGCTATGTTTTGTGAACTTGTCCTTGTATGAAAAACCCCTGATTCATTTAGAGAGCACAGTGGAAAACGATTTTTTTCTTAGTAAATATCAAGATTTCACGAACAATTTTATTTCGTAGCCGTTCTTTTAAGACGTTTATAAAATAAATTTTCTTGTAGGGTACATAATTGAAACAGCCCTATAGTTTACAAGGAATTTGTATGTGAAAAGTAAAAAAAAACATACAAAAAACCAACTCCAGGTAAAATTCAAAACGGAAAGTCCTTTATCAAATGGCAAAATCAAAAGCTCAAACACACCAAATGAATGCTCCTTAATTGCAGGTCATCAGTTTACCATAGAAGGAACCAGTCGAAACACATGGTCAAACTTGATTTTTCAAAACTATTTATTAGATTACCATTACAACTTATAAATGATAATATTAAACCACTGCTACTTTTAAGAAAATATCATGGGTTTTATAAATTTGGTGCAGTTAAAAAGTGTAATAGATCTTTGTACAGTGGAATGTCATTTATGTTGAAGGATTTAATTTTTACCGACATTATAATCTATCTATTGATCTGTTTTTTTCTGAGATTTCATCATAAGTTTGCGCCAATGACGCAAACATTGATATATCTTAAGTTGTGCGAGTTGCTTTCACAGACATATGACAACAATGTCTCCCTCCCCCCCCCCCCCCTCCCAAAAAAAAAATAGACAAACAAAAATTTAGAGGGGTACAATTATACCGTAAAATAACAAATAAAAGTTCTTTTGTTTATGTACTGTTTACGGAAATGTTTTAAAATACTCTGAAATTTAGAAATCTTTTATTTGTGTAATTGCTTTCTTAATTTTTAGTGTAAACGGTAGTTGATGTATGAAATATAAATATTATATTAAAAAGAAATTACTTAAACATATTGAAAGTCGTCTAGAAGTTTTCGTATTTATGAAAATCGGTTACTAACTTTTGAAAATTCTGAGTCTGATAATATTTCATTAGTTCAATAATGTTCTGCACTTTTCTGTTTCCCCGTTGCTGGTCTGTATCTTGCACAAGCTTTTCGGTGATGGTTTGAATCATTGTGTACTTTAAAAGGTTATGCTACACCTGGCCCAAATTACAGACCAAATTCCCACTATTGGACGCGTGGACAAAAGAAATCAATGGGCGCTGCCGAAAAGAAAAAAATCCGCGATGGTCCAGGTAACACAACCTATTTCATATCTTTTATAAAATGAAATAAACTTTTAATTGTTTAATCAAACGATCTATTGATAGCACAAAAATTATTTCATTCTTCAATCATCGTCATTCTCACAATCATTGATTTAATATGACGAAATGTTTATGTTCAATATCAAGACAAACATTATAATGTAATTTGTATTGACAAATTTAAAATTCACTCTTGATTTCACAAACATAGATTCTATATTTATTCCATGCAGTTTCGTCAGTTGAAACTCTTGTAACTAAGGTATACATCATGTGTTATCTCTATCATTTGAAAAAAATTTGAAGGACCGGCAGATTACAGCGTCTCTGCCACTTTAAGTGGACCATCATATTCGTTTGGCATTAAACTACCACCAGCTCCAAATATCCAGCGAAGTAAGTTCATTTATTTGTTACTTTGTAATGATCTTACACATCGAAATACAGGAATATGCACGAAGATCTGTATTTTGTCCAAAAGAAAATATCCATTTGTAACTGAATCACTAAAATGTCCATGCTTTCATATGTTTCTTAAATGTTTAACTGTAAATCGTCTCTGGTCATATTTGCACGACGCTTCACACATTTGTTACATGTCGACTCTTTCTTGTAATCATCACTTTTCATACTATGTTTATTTATCATTGGTTTATTATTATACCCTTGGTATTCTGTTTTAAGTTAGTTTTGATATTCATTTAAATCTTCTGTTCTTTTATTTAGGTTTTCTATTAATCTTAACTTATGCATCTTCTGTTTAAGTAGAAGTTTTTACATACTATTATTTAAAGGAAGTAAATCTTAAATCATATGCATTTGTAATTAACAGTTTCGTCATTACTTTTTAAGCATTCATGTGAAACAGAATTAAAACTAGAGTGACTTAGAAACTTAGAAAATATTTATAAAAGTGATTGACACAAACATCCTCTTTTTAAACAGTTATCTTCCTTTACCTATGTCTACCTCCTTAAAGGATGGTTTACATTATGCAAAACCCAATTAAAAGCTATCAACTGTTAGTGATAGGTATTATACTGTTCTTTTATCTATCTTATCAATCCTCTTTTTAACTTTCATTATTTGATTAATGGTCTACATTATGCCAGAACTATTAAGGATTAACTGTTATTTTTTGTGCCTTGTATTTAACTTTCTATGGATTTTAACAGCTGTCAATAAATTTAGTCCTGGTCCTAACAGATATGAACTTGGAACGACAATAGGAACAGCCACTTCAAAAAGCATATCCGGTCGTTATATTGAATCCAAATGTGCAGGTAGATGACAACAAAATCAAACGATATAATTTGTATAAAGAGGATCTGGATACTTTCCGCCTTTGATATTCAATTTTCAATATTCTATCAAATGCTAATGAACGATCTTTTATTATATTAGTTTGTTCCTGTATTATTTTCAATTTTGTCTTATATTGCGCAAACAAATTTATCTGAATTTAAAACATGCTATGTTAATGAACAGTGGTGATTTTAACACTCTTGTAAACGCAGTACACTTGTATACCTTCCTAATTCTCACATCTCAATGTTGAATTTTCAGCTTCCGCCAAAGAAACACCAGCCCCATCAACATATTACCCGACCATACCAGCTCGCTATCATAAACGTACAACGTTAGCTTATAAATGGTTTGAAGTTGAAGGTAAGAAAAACTGTTATTCAGGTATTAATTCATTTATATTTTTTTTATATTTTAGTACGCAAATTAAGCATAGCCAGTGAACCTTTACCTGGACAATACTTCATGAATTCCGTTATGGATTTTCGAACCAGTACATCAAGGACAGCGTCGGTGTTGGACCGCTACACCTCGTATTCCTCGATGCAACCTAATCATGAGCTCTTGAGTCCAAGATTTTTTGCTGGTACACCTGCTCCAAATCAATATCATTTGAAATCCTCGATTGGATTGCAGCCTGGAACATCCATGAAGGGAAACAGAAGACGCAATTTTGACAGAGCGAAGGCGGATTGCTCATTTTTGCTACCAGAACTAATTGATGGATTTCCGTCACCAAACTCGTACAATACAAATAAATCGACCCTTGGTTTAGGCTCCGGTGTAAGTTTTAAGGGTAAAAGAGGTGGACCATTTCAGACAAATAAGGGTCAAATGTACATCCCTGCACAGTACAACGAGAGAGATAAAATGTCTGAAACGTACGACACAACATCATACGTTGGAAAATCTTCAGGTGTATCGTTCAAAGGTAATCGACGGCGAAGAATTGTCATGGGAGCAAAAAATGCAAATGCTGGTTTTCTTTTACCGAATCTGATAGAAGCCAGTCCGGGTCCAGGGAGCTACAATATTAAATCAACTATTGGAATGAATAATGGTGTATCATTCAAAGGACGGAAAACTGGTCCATTTCAGTCAAACAGAGGAGCAACATATATCAACCCTGAAGTAAATGAAAAAGAAATGCGTCCTGGTCATTATACGCTTGCTTCATCTATAGGAAACTCACCTGGTGTCTCTTTCAAAGGTAACAGGCAGAGGACATTTGAAAATGCAAAGGCATCAAATGCTTTATTTCTTTTGCCTAATTCAGTGAATGACACTCCTGCACCTGGATTTTATTCAATGAAAAGTTCAATTGGCAGCGAGCAAAGTGTATCAATGAAAGGTAAGAAGAGTGGACCTTTTCAAAGTAATAAGGGACCAAAGTATATTCCCGTTGAAATGAACGAACGAGATAGCAATCCTGCACCGAATGAATATGACGTAAGCCCGCGACGTTCTTCACGAAATAGCAGCGTATCGATGAAAGGAGATAGGCGACGGACTATCGACGACGGAAGAGAGACAAATTCTTTATTTCTAGTCGATAAAATGTCAAACGAGAATCCAGGTCCAGGCTCATATGATTCTAAATCTATTTTTTCCGACGATAGTGGAACAAAAATGAAAGGAAGGCGTCTGGGTCCATTTCAAACTACTAGTGGTCACATGCATATTAGACCGGAAGTCGATAATAAAACAAAAAGGCCATCTCCTGCTTCATACAATATTGTTAAACCAACTGGGAAAGATGCACCGTCAGCATCTTTTAAAGGAAGCCGACCGAAATCATTGTTTGGGGGTAATATGACTGTTTTGTTGTGTGGTCTTGTTTGAGGTGTGAGTTTGAGTGAAATTTAGTCACATGCATTCAAATGGGAAAAAAACATAGCCTTACCAAACACGACTTATCTGGTGATACTCAAGTTCTTTATTAAACTGCACAGTGTTACTCGGTATTTATATAAGCACTCTTTTAAGCCGGAATTTTTATCAGCACGAAATTATTTTTCAAAGTTTCAAATTATATACTTTTTAGGAATTTATTGAAATATTTTTTATATAGTTTTATACACTAATAATATGTCCTTTCTGTTTTGTTTTTACATCGCGATGACCTTGAGGTCATTCCGATGTATTGCTATCGCCTAGATTTCCATTATGTAAATTAGTTTTGGGTTTGTAACCGATCTATAAACTTGATAAATATGCGCACATAAACGAGTGCAAAATAACATTCCTTATCGTTTGATATAAATACATCTTTTCAATGAATACTGATAAAAATATTTTTGTTTACAACATAAATTAATAATATGAAAATGATTTGTAGCTAGATATATATATATATTTAAGTAAAAAATCATTGATAATATCAATGCACACGTACCGAAAAATTGCGTTAAAGCATGCGGAAGAATATCTCAAAGAACGTTTTGCGACAATACCTGCAAGGACCGGTAACTCTGTAATTGTTTTTTGCGGGAAAATATGAATGCCTACTCGTATCCAATCTTAGAAAAATCGAATTTTTACAGAAAAGTGTCCACCATGCACTTGCATTGCACTATTATTAGAATAGTAGAATAGAATAATATACAAATGGATGCAAATCATATATATATGTAACTGTTATTTTAATATAATATACAAGAACAAATCAGTGTATACTGATTTGTATCACTACAATATAATAGTTATTACGGTGAAGTTGAATTTCCTGTCATTTATTCATCATCCACGCACGAACTTGTCTCAGAAAAAAATATATCTCTGTGCATTAACCTCAGTTTCAGGTTGCAGTCTTGTAATTGACTGCTCCATAGGCTTACATGCAAAACAGCTGATCTTTGAAAATAAAAAAATAAAAAATGCTACATAGAAAAAAATGTTCATGCTCATATCATGTATGTACTAATGTGAAATTGTGATTTAATCGAAAAAAAAGTGGGTCATGCCACGAAGAATAAAAAGTTACGTAACCCTGAAGTCAAAACAATTTTTTTCTACTTTCTGTTTGCTGTTTTTACTCGGCCGCACCACTTCCAGTAAACATGATATCCTTCCACTTTCTTGGATTGGTATCCCCAAAAAGATGCAAGATTTTTTTTAAATCTATATATATGTTTCAATTCTGCATAAACTTTTAATCAAACAGAAAAAATTGAGGCCAGAAAAAAATTCAGAAAAAAATGGACTATTTTATTTACCTCCATGTTTTGATGGAGTTGTAATACAAGACTGGTACCTTCAGGTAAACAGATATGTTGTTTTTTCTGAGACAAGTGCTTTTGACCATCCTCAAGAACTTGTGGTCATCCGATGTTCAGTACTTCAGTACTTTGATTTATATTTATTTACCAAGTAAATATTCGACAAGAAAAAGAGATTTTGTTTTCAATTGGTCAGGTGAAAAACATTTGTTACAAAAATACAGTCAGTAGGACAATTAAGTTATGCTGAACTAGACGAATCCGTTTGTAAATATATAATTCATTAAAATCATGTAAGTATTGGATCAAATATGAAAGGATATATAATAACATTAACGAAACCAATTTTACTTTACCAAATTCGCATTTTTACAGTTAATGTTTCTTCGGTAATGATCGGGGCCCAAATATTTAAAAATAAAAATAAAACGTTGAAGAGCTGATAAAACACAAAAATATCAAAATATCGTTAGAAATTAAAGAAATAATTATACAAATTGTTCTACAATATATCAGTGTTGTCAAAAAACAGACGACCGTCCAAATGTAACCCACAGAAATGTTTCTAAAATAACTTTTCAATTGAAATAAAATTCATAAATACTTGTGCAATATATTTTGGTTTGCTTTGCATGTTAAATGTTTATATTCTGAAGATACATTAAACTTCGAATTCGCATATTTTACAGAGCCATTCCGTCCTGGTCCAGGTGATTACACGTTGACTACGGCAAATATGAAAAAAGACCCTGCATATTCAGTAAGACAACACACACACCCGTCATATCCAGAGTCTCTCAACTATGTACCCAAAGGTAGCTTTATTTTATTCAATTAGTATAAGCTATATTGTTTTAGACTTCCCTCTTTTTTAGTTTTATTTTTTATTTTGTTTTTCTTTCTATTTCTTTCGAGAGCGAATAATTAGTTTTTAAGTAAAACTATCCCTACTGATAATCACTGTATGGTGTTATCAATATATGTTTCATGACATGTTTTGAGTCCGCTCTCAACAGAAGCTTGATAATAACGGGTGCGCATTTGTGTGAAATTTTTCATACAGCTGTTATCTATTGAACTTCATCTGCTTATTAAAAAAATGGTAACTGTAAATTCAATAGTTCTAGATTATAATGTATTTAAAACAATGATTGAGTCAATTTTAAACATAACTAAGTAACAATAGTATCTAAGTCTTTAGCTGTAAACTTAAAGTAACAACATTATCTCCGACCAAACGATAGGACTACCGTTTTTATATGTACAGAAAATCTACAAAAACAACATAAAAAGCAACCACTCTTAATTACAATAGAAAATGTTGAAAAATATAATGATAAATGATAATTAACATTATCTGTGGAAAACGGAAGTGTCTACGTACCCTCCCATACCCTCAAATATAAGAACAAGACATTGTTTTCGCCTTCCCAGGTCCTTTATTTTTCAGTCACTATTTGAAAACAAAAGTAGGAAAAATTAAAAACCAATTGTTCAGAGAACAATTGAAGGTCTTTCCACCCGAAACGATATATTTTGATGTGAAAAAATATTAAAACTCGGTTAGAAATGTAATTTTCAGCGCCAAATGATAGCTTATTATACGCTGAATTTAAAAATATATGGTTTCTATACATTTTTGTTTGAAATAAGGGAGATAATTTGTTACTTCCGGTTTGAAAAAGGTCACTTCCGGTATCATTTGATAGTTTACTTGACACTGATTCCAAAAATATATGGTTCTATGTACTTTTACATTAAATATGGACAAGAAATAGCTACTTCCGGTTTACAAAAGGTCATTTCCAGTTGATTTTTTCAAGGTCATATGGCTTGCAACTTGCACAAAGTACCATAGCTTTATCAGGCATACATGAAAAGTTAAAGCAAAGGTCAAAATCTAGAACGTCAAATCAAACTTTGACCTTGACCCTAATTTCAAGGTCATGAAACAAGGGCCTCAAATCAAAACACTCTAGGTCTCTACTATATATTGTTAATGAGTTATATTACCATACAGCTAATATTAGATATAAAAGGGGCGGAAACTCCCATTAAATGTCTCCGTTCCCTTTCAACTCAAATTTACGTGTTACGACATGTCGCAACTAACAATTCTGTAAAAAAATTTGTCGATATCTTATAAGATTTCTGAAAATTAGTGATAACAAGCCAAAAACAAATTTTTAACATGACCTTGACCTTTGACCTTGACCTCATTTTCATTTTTATGGACCAAGGACCTCAAATCAAAAGACCCTAGGCCTCTATCACTTATGGTTTTCCAGTTACAAATACATTTCACATATATCAAATACAAAAGGGGAAATAACTCTCATATGGAGTCTTCGTAAAGCTTCGGTCTAAATAAAACCTAACATCCTGAGGATATAACGAGCAATTTGGAAAAATAAATTTGTCGCTTTCTTTTACGGTGACGGAGGAGATCTCATAACAAGAAAAACAGTGTTTGGGGAGATAACTCTTACAAAGAAAAGTGTTCGGTTAAACAGGGTCAGTTTCAAAAGCGTATAGACTGTATGATATCATATACCAAAAAACTAAGCGACATCTTTTGAAACAAAAATACACCGCAAGAAAAAAATTAGGCGGAAGAAAAAAAAAATAATCAGAAGAAAACCAATAGGTCTTTCCACGGAAAGGTGGAAAGACCTAATAAATAAAAATACTATCAATGATCAGATATAAATTATTCAAATTATTCTATGTCGGAATTTTAAATCATATCGTGGAGCAGGGAAGTATTGATATATTAGCACCCATTTATCAGTTAATTCTCCTCTTCAAAAAACAGTAACTCTCCACAACTACATTCAGCATACTTAGCTATCGGATCAACAATCATTACCTTTTGAAGATGGATTGGTGTAATACCTGGGAGAAAATGGATAGGCGTTTCATTTTTATTTCATCTCTCTAGTTTAATCCCGAAACGGTGAAGAAAGTAAGTTCCTGTTTATATAAAAATGCTTTGTGCGAAAGTTTTATACATATATATATATATATATATCATATCTAATTTTTTACTGTTTAAATCAAGTAAAACTTAACCATATGATCTATGTTGAATATTTAGGTCATTCAGATGTACCTGGTCCTGGAAATTACCAAATTTCACGAGATGTGATTGAAAACGAATCTCCAGCGTATTCAATGAGACAGCAACTGAAATCCGTTGAAAGTGAGTACAGTTCTAGCTTATGAGGGAAAAGGCATTGTCAGCCTGTTGTCGTTTTAGAATTTGTTGGTTTCAAGTAGCATCATCTTATGATCTCTCAAATGTCAAAGAAACTACACAGACAAATATTTCAATTATAAAATTTCAGTTAAAAAATAGGTACGATATTTTGCGAAATATTATATGACTTATATAGTAAATTTAGGATTTACGTTTTAATAATCAAAAGTTAGGAATCAGAATACACAGCTTAATACTTCTTACATAGTGTTGTCAGTTCGATTAAAGATGTTGGAATATTTCGCCGTTTCCGAATCTAATTGTTTGGCATAGTTTCATTGTTCGCAATCTAAGATGAAAAAAACCATGTCAATGGTTGAATTTTGATTGTTTATGACGTTGTTAGCAAATCATAACGTTTTGAGTATGCTATTAAATTTTTTTACCGAAACCAAGGATTCACTATACAAATCCTTGCTGAAACTGCTTCATATTTTAGTTTTGATATATAAATTAGAAGCAACAGTAGTTTATCGATGTTCAAGTATGATAAATGCATATGAAGATACAAATCAAGGTAAAAATCTAAAATTGATAGAATTGCATTAAGGTAGTTATAAAGAGTAGAAACGCACTTCAATGCAGAATTTAAAAAAAAAACAGGTAAAATTATCAATTTTGCATGAAAATGCCATCAATAGCAACATAGCGCGCTGAATAACATTATAACATTTAATTTTTTATGTCATGGAAATATGGAATATTGTTGAAAAATAATGAAAGATTATGATAAAAAGTCTTAGATATTCAACTTCTATTAGGTTTAGAAAATAACCTAGTTATTTAGTGACACAAAGAAAGGGTACCTTGGCTCGTCCTTTTTCCTGTATATGAACAGACGAGGACAACTACAATATAAAACATAGTTTGCCTGTAGTTGTTGTTCGTAGTTTTTTGGGGGGCAATCACTATTCTACATTTTATGTGCAACTAAACATGCTTTAAATAACATGCTTAAGATAATAAGAGGTGATCAGCATCCAAAACATCACAAGGACAAATAAAATTTCAGAAAAATATAAAACATTAAAATTCAACCCTACCAAAAAATGGAGGGAACTCCGGATTGATTCCATACATCTGTTTTACGTTCAATTAAATCTGTTAATTGTCAGTACTTTAAAACAATCATTTTATCTGAAGTTCTTTTAAAAGTGTTCTTTAATGTTTTGATTATCAACTTATATTTTTACAGTTGAAGGATAGAGATGTAACAGTATCCAAGTAGCTATCGATGCCTACCTGCATTCTATGATTAATATGGAAATTCCTTATTAATATCATTCTAACTTGGATAATTTTCTTGACGGACTTAAAAACTGTTGTATCTAAATTCGAATTAATGCATGGATATTTTCTAAACTTACTCAATTTGAATTATTTAGCACGTTGCATCAATGATATTTGCAGGATCCAGGCACTTTTAGCATCCACATCGTTAAACTGTTGTAATGTGAATGCCATATGAATTTTGAATGTTTTTTGTGTTTGATTATTATCATTATTATAAAAATCATTAAGTTATTTGCTTAATCCATTGTGTTAAAAAGAAAAAGCATGTTTGACTTTTTTAAATTCTAATGTCATCTCAGTACCAGAATCTATGACAAACGAGACGACTTTAATTTTGACATTATCAATTTCCCTCACCTTAGTAGCAATATACCAACTTCACCAGCTTATGGGATATACATTTCCCAACTCATTTGATATTCAAGAGCATGCAGCTGCTACTCAGACTTTATAAAACGTCACCAGTGTCTGAGCAGAAAGTTGATGAACCAAGGTTATGTCAAAGAACGTCTCGTCCTTTTTCTAAAAAGTTCATCGGAAGATACCAAGACCTTCACGTGTTATAGTGTTCTTTTATTTGTCTTTGTAAATTATCAACCTCTACTTTTAGTCTATTTTTGGTAAGATCCTTTTGGCGTGGCTTGGTACTTATACATCCCGCCATTGTGTTATTGTGCTATAGTCATTTTTATAGTGATTAAGATTACAACACAATGTTGATTGATGTACCCCTATTTTTGACATTTTTACCTATTTTGTCTGTTTGTTTTGTTTACACATTGTTGTCAATATAATGGAATTTTATGCGAGAGAGGTTTTAATAAGCTAGCTATAAAAATAAGTTTAATCCATCATTTTCTACATAAGGAAATGCCTGTTCCAAGTTAGGAATATGACAGTTGTTTTCCATTCGTTTGATGTGTTTGAGCTTTTAATTTTGCCATATGATAAGGGACTTTTCGTTTTGAATTTTCCTTGGAGTTCGGTATTTTTGTTATTTTACTTTTTTCTATGACTGTTTTATGATTCCATGGGGACAATCATAAACTAGTCGAAGTACGATAAAAAAATCATGACTAAGACTGTAATAGAACAAACAATAAAAAAAGTCATCAAAACACTTAGAAATTTTATAAACAGGAATGCCATCAAAACCAACAGTAAACGCGGAGTTTTCTGGAAGGGTATTTGTTCCTTATTCACTAGTGGCACTGTTTTATTTCTCAGGACAATTAAAAAACTGATGATTAGTCGTATTCGGGGGTGTCAAAAAGGTGGTGAAACTGAGGCTACGATAAAACGAACAAATTCCGTTGTCATCCATTCGTTCAAAAATTTACTTGTAAGAGGCAATGTGTATCAACGAATAACAGATTAGGAACAGTTTATCAATTAGGAGATGTATACTCCATGTGCAGGTGCTGCTGGAATGTTGTTACATAAAATTGGAAACCATGTTTATGAAGCATACATGTTTTTTTTCAACAAAAGCAAAAACTAGTGTATACTTAGGACAACACTACATGTACTTTTATGGCTGTACATATTTACTATTATATTGTGTTAACATGATGTTTTATACAATACTTTTAAGTATGTCTAAGAAAAACATACAGATTTGGTATTATATTGGATTAACATGATGTTTTATACAATACTTGTGAATAAAAATTATGATTTTACACTCAGAAATGACGAATTTTTCAGGAGAAAGGCATTCGAGACTTGTTCTTTTTTCTCGCCATTCATGATACCAGACGAATTAAGAATGAGATTAGTGTCATACATTTATATTGTATAAAAACAGCTTTTGCATTAAGATTAAATAGAAATGTAAAAACATATTAAGCTTAATTCTCCATTGAATAATTAAGAAATATAAACAAGTCTAAATTGAAAACAACGTTCAAACCTATGATTGCGTTGGATAAAAACCGCAATTTTTATACGTGTGCATGCAAAACAAATTTCTTGGTAGAGGAGTCTAAATACAGCACAAACAACATTTTCCAAAAGACAAAAAAAGAGAAAAAGTATATTTTAACAAAACGCATTTGACTAGCAGGTGGAACAACGGATGTTCTTAAACCCTGCTGACTGCCATTGGCGATTGCCAAATAAACGGATCACAAGATGTAACATAATGGATCTTAATTATTAATTTAATATATATAGTTTAAACATATTTTATTTGCTAAATATCAGCAAAATGGATGACACACAAGTAAATCATACTTATGAAGTCTTCTCCATATTACAATACAAGTATATATACAATAATAACATTATGAGCATGCATGTTAAGCTAACAAATTCATTAAATATTATACGAACTATAAATAAAAAGAAAAAAAGAACAAGAAGAATGGAAAAGGAGGAAAAGAAAAAGAAGCAAATTATATTTTCTGTGATGTTGACTTAGGTTTGATGGTGATGATCATCCGTGCCGGTAGCAATAATATTTTATGAAGGTACTAGAAATCTGTTAGACCTTTTAATAAAATCTTGAACATGTTTGAAAATTAGGAGATTTTGTTCATTCGAAAGTTCAAGATCTCCGCAAGTTAATAGTTTAGTATCAATAATAAAGTTTTCAGTAAGCCAATTAAGATTGTTAAGTAAAATTTCTCTACATGTAGTGTATTTTGGGCAAACTAAAATAAAATGATGAACATCCTCAATATCAGATCCACACTGACACGAAGGATCCAGTATAATGTTAGCTTTGAAAAGGTCAGAGTTCAAAAATGAAGCGGAACATCGCAATTGAGTTAAAATAATATTCAGTTTCCTCGGACCCTACATATAATACGGCTCAACTCTACTCTGAACACTTTCATTTTTCAATTCTCTCTTAAATTTAGATATAGAGTCGGTGTTTCGAATTTTGACGTCAAGCTTATTCCATTCTCGTATTGTGGATGGAATAAAAGATTCAGTGGTAAGGGAAAGTCTACAAAATGGAACAATAATATTTTGACCGTTTCGCAACAGATAGTTGGTTGTACTTTGTATACATGGGGGGGGACAAGATTACACAGGTACTGAGGTGCATGTTTTTTATTTATATTATAAAACATCTGTAATTTTCTTCTTCTTCGTCTTTCATATAAAGATTCCCAGCCAACCTCAGAGTACAGAGTATCAGTTTTAGTGAAGATTGGTAGACCTGTTGCAATTCTTGCGGCTTCCAATTGCAAATTTACTAATTTATTTGAATAACATATCCCACAATTATCCCACACTTCCGTGGCATATTCAAAAATGGGTCTAATAAAAACTGGATAAAGTTTTTCTAAATTATTACGAGACAGTCGATATTTAAGTTTACGCAGAACATTAAGGTGTTTCTTTACACTTGTAATTATACCTTCAATATGATTGTTCCATTTTGCGTCACAACTAAAGGTAACTCCCAGGTGCTTATGCGATGTTTTTATAGGGATAGTTTTATCATTTAGGGAAAAGTTGAGATCTGGTATCTCGATATTTGAAAATATCATAATTTCTGTTTTATCAGGATTAAATGACATAAGCCATTTAGTTGACCAAACATCCAGCTCTTTCAGGTCGCGGTCGATCACAGATTTAATCTGTTCCCCATCGCTACCGGAATAACTGAATGAAGTGTCGTCTGCAAATAGCATACACAGCGATGTAAGCTTATCAGCAATATCAGTAATATATAAAACAAAGAGAAGAGGGCCCAAAATAGATACAATATATATACATAAGGTTCCAACTCTTTCTGGCAAAGTTGATCTTGGATGAATTTTTAGGTCACATTTTGTCATAACGCTTTTCGTATTGGTCTTATACATCCTTGGCTTTCATATGTTTGGGCGTTACTGATGAAGGCTAATGCAGACAAATGTTTCGGACACACGAAATAAATGAAGTGTTATATTCATATTCTGTATCCCATAACAAGTATCCCATTTTAACGCCAAATGTTCTGAATGTCTAAATTTGTATATCAAATTATTTTTCATGTGAAAACATGAATAACTCTACCCTTTAAAAGAACAAATCTGTAATTGAAAACCTATTGTTTAAATTTAACATAATATATTTGAAAAATAATTTATTCAACTTGCAACTTGCATACTTATCTTAAATCTTAGTCTTCACACAATTTCTAAATTCGTATTTCTATTTTTTGTTCCCGCTTACGATAGTAGATGGCCATTATTTTTTTCTGGTCTAAGCGTCCGTCCGTCTCGAATCAGTTAAAGGTAGTTTTCCATCAGGGTTTGGACACATCAACGTGAAACTTAGTGCACATGCTCATTACGATGTGAACTATTCATAAATCTTTTCAAAATGTATTTTCTACCATTGATCGATTCGAGAATCCAAATGTCAAAAGTACTTTCAACAATTAAGCCAACTGTGCAAACTTGCATAACTGATTAGCGTTCATAGGTAAATTTATAAAATTTAAGATTTGAAGACAAAATAAAATCTGTCGCCACAATTGTGTCGTTTTATTAAATAGTTTATCATTATTACGTCCTAATTTATCATGTCAATTTTGCAAACAAATGGAATCAACTATTGTTATCATACTAGTAAACTATATTATTACACTTGGGTCTTGTGTAAATCAGCTTACACTAATGCAGTAAAAAGGTGGATATTTTTCCTCTAAAACTTTCATATTGTGAATATACATTTTTAGTGAGATACATCTTTAGATAATTAAAGGCAACACGTCTTACAATTCTTTGTATTTTGGGACCAAATTGGAGAAAGATAATAAAGAATGGTTTTCACATTCCATAGATTCCAAGATTAGGTATTGTTAACAATTCAAGGAGTCCTGCCAATCTGATCAGATATCTTTATTTTAATTATATTGGTTTCCTGCTTATTTCTTTCGTAATTTGCACAGAAACAAATGGACGATGTTGGGAGACAGCCCGACACGGACCATTTATGATATCGATCAAAGACTATCACTTAAAACAGGATTCTGTTTAGCAAATATTTTCTGGAATTTTTTTTTTCCATTTCTTTACGTTTTGTAGAGGATGTACCTGCACCCAACAAATATGAATACGAAAAGAAAAGAATCGAGCGAGGATCAAAGTTTTCAATGGGCAAACGATTCAATATGCCAAACAGTGAGTGTTTATGCTGATTACAGGATGGGTTGACATGATATTTGCAATGCTAAACGTTCATTTGAATAGAATTGTAACAACTTTAATTCCTACATGAATAACTGTCTGATCCTGGTGGCATTCTTTCATCTTATCTGAGGGTCTGGAATGGGGAGGGGTTCTTCGTTTTTTATTCTTCAATTTATTTCTAAGAGATTTTTTCTGTATTCTTTATGTTTCAACACCCTATTATTCTCTATTCTATATTTTGTTGCCCTTTATTTTGCACTTTTTATCCATTATTTTCTATTCTGTAATTCCCACCCAGACCCTCATATCTAGTCTCTCTTTTTTTTTCAAATTGTATGTTTTGTCATTGTATTCATTATTTTAATTCATTTACTTTTAGTAAAAAGTCCATTGTTTGTGAAATTTCGATTTCTTCATAAGTCATTAAACTGAGCTATTTTCCGATCTATGTACTAACTATTTTCATTTGTCTCATATTAACCGTTTCATTTAATATGATTTCTCTGTTTTTCTTTAACTCTAAAGTTTACTTATATCATCATCCATAGTCTTAACTGTGTTGCTCTCTTGAACCTCGAAATTCTTTTTTTTCTCTGTTGTAATGACGTCAACAGGTCATATACCATAGTATAATACGTCGATATGTGCATTGTTAAAAGTCAAAAGCTATCTGTAAAAGTTTATATATTTTCTTGTAGTTTTTAGTTTTATTGTTTTCCACTATTCAATTTTGCGCCTTTCTGGTTTCTTCGTTTATTTTTTGTAATCATTTATTTGACCAGGCATGAAGGACAACCCAGGCCCTGGAACATATACGCCGAAACTACTTAAATTATCACCAAAGTTTTCAATGAAGGGAAGAACATTGATCATTAGTAAAAGTAAGTTATGACGAAAGAACATTCAAATGAGTTATGTGCAACTCATCTCGTTGTCGCAAATATTACTTGCATGTAAAACACAAATCCATCAAAATTCAACATAACAGTACGAATAATTTTTTAATCCACACAAACTCATACTTCAAAACCATGTTCACACACGCATGTAATGAAGCATATATGCAAACTTGCCAAAATAGGTAAAAAAGCATAATAAAATCACCGAACTTCAATGCAAATTAAAAAAGGGAGGAATTTTATAAAAAAAAACTGACAAAATCAAACGCTATCAACCAACGGAACAATTGAAAACAACTGCCATATTCCTGACTTCATACAGGCATTTTTACTAAAAAATTATACCAGGAGTGTATATTCGAAATACTATATTTTGAAATATTATATGATGTTCAAAATGAATAGATATAATGTGTCCAATACCAAAGGAGTAACAAAATCGTCCTACATTTCTATAATTAATCTGCATGCGTTGCTATAGGTTTATCTCGCATAAAAGATATATGGACTTTGGAGCGATCTTCACGCATAGTTTTGGAATATAATTTTTTCTATTATTTTTATCTTTAATAAGATATTTAAGCTTAAATTTTTTTCTTAACTGAAGAGGCTAAGTCAGCATTTAACGTTCTCTCCTTCATACCATTTGGTGAACTTTCCTTGTGTTTTGTTACCAGAAGTTTCATTTAACATGTACAAATTTCTATCTTTGCCACTTGGTTTTAGGTATATCAAGTATGCATTTGTCCTAAGTCAGGAACCTGTTGTTCAGCGGTTGTCGTTTGTTGATGTGGTTCATAAGTGTTTCTCGTTTCACGTTTTAATATAGATTAAACCGTTGGTTTTCCTGTTTGAATTGTTTACACTAGTCATTTTAGGGCCCTTTATATCTTGCTGTTCGGTATGAGCCAAGGCTCTGTGTTGAAGGCCGTACTTTGACCTATAATTATTAACTTTTTATACATTGTGACTTGGATGGAGAGTTTTCTCACTGGCACTCATACCACATCTTCTTATTTCTATTGAATGCATTGCAGATTTAGCGTTTTTCCGTCTTTTGAGCTTCATCATGATACATGCAAGTGCTATTTGATTACGAATCATCCTATTAACTTTCAACAGTTTTCTCATTCCAAATTATAACAAAGCCTTATTTTCTACCTCGTACCAGTCATTATCCCGTTTTTCTCCCTTTCCCTGCTTGCGCCATTTTCTTAACTTGTATAACTGTTCTATTAGTGACAACACTTGTACGGTGTTGATTTAACGAAATCAATAAAAGAACTTTAGTGACCATATATGCAATTATGGGGTCAAAATCTGGAAACCCCTCTCTGCAATAATTTTAGAATACTTTTAGTAACTATGACCTTGACCTTGGGAGCAATGAACTTAAAATCAATAAGCATCCTCTCATTTTTAGTGACCATGCATGTATATATGTTTCGTTGGAATCCCATTAAAGATTCTAGAGTTTTCATCCAGAAACTTCTCTTGAGCACTTATTTCAATCTATTTTTATGTAAATATGACTTGGGTCTTGGAAACAGTCATCTCAAAATAAGTAGGAATATTCCACTCATTATATGTAACAACATGTTAAAGGTTTTCGTGTACTGTTCTAGAATACCGATTAATTGGATACTCCTTTCCTGCACTAATTTCGGTCTTTTAAAGGAACCATTCCCTTAACCCTAAACATAGTGATCTCAAAATCAGTAGAGATTTACCTTTCATAATATGCGACCATATTGTCATGTCAGGTTGCAGTATGAAATTAAGTTTGTTTCTTTTTCATCCGGAAACCAAATGACTGATTTTCTGGAGGAAGAATTAACTATATTTTGCGTTTATATGCAAAAATTACACACATCGTAAATTTGCATCACGGGTTTTAAGCCCCGTTCACATGCACATATTTGCATAAGTATGCTTATATGCATATATGTATGTAAAAATACATATAGTTGGAAAACGTGTTTATGGTGTTTCCGCACCATAAATCGAGTTCTTTATATCGAAATGCATGGTCACCTGATCACATATAGTGACTGATTTTTAGTTTACTACGTCTGAAGTCACAGGAACTATAGATATATCGAAATTGATAAACGAAAAAGTAACCGGATTACACATCTAGAACCTTGGAAGGGATTGAAACCAAGTTTTACTGATGATTAGTGGACAATCTCTATCCATTGTGAGATCATTGTGTCCGAGGATAAGTTCATAGTTACCAACAATTTAAAATGAGTCCAGGAAACGGGTATCCGGATTATAATCCACAAACTTAAAAGGAATTACTGCGAAATGTTTAGTGCTACACACGCCTTTTGCACATTTGCATCTACATACATAAATAAATTTGTACATTTGCATATTAATTTACATACAGATGTAAATTTTCCATGTGAACAGGGCTTTATGGTTCGGTCATGCAAATGTACACTCGTTGTTAATTTGCATACGTGTTTAAACCAATGCAAAAATAATTTCTATGAGAATTATATCATTAGATTTTAAGTTACATTTTCTGGATGAATGTTTAATTTGGAAAAGTTTTAAATTATATAACATACATTTCTTATTTGTACTGTGTATTTTGTCTTCTTTTCATCTAATTTTCTTTTTCCGTTCTTAATTGAATTCTTTTGAAATACATGTACTTGTAATAAAACTTGACATTCTTAATTTCCAGGTGGGAACACTCCATCCCCAAATTCATATAGCATCCCACCTGAGATTAAATTGAACGACAAGAACGCTGGAGTTACCATAAAGAGCAGAGCGAGCCCTTACGTGTATTCCGGATTTCGCTCAACAAAACTTGTCGATGGATGCAACATGGAAGTACCAGAAAAGGCGTAATCGATATTGATCCTATTATTTAAGGTCACTTGCGCAACCATATGTTTTGTAATTAATTACGTGCTTTATGAGAGAAAATAAAGGAAGTGGAGTATTATTTTACGTATATCTGAGCTATTTTTAATTTGTTTATACCCTTTCACTTATTTTTACACATGCTACAGATGGCTCTAAGTATATACCTTCAGATTTTGCTTATAATTATAATGGGAAACGAATTAGAAATCGAACATACTAAAACATATTGTCAACATATTTTACATATAAAATGATATTTTGTGCAGTTTTGTTTATTTGTTTTGATTATACTATACTTTCAATTATTTTTCATGTATATAGTTTCATTTTTATTGAAGGATCTGCACTTTTTTAAATGCTTATTGTACGCATTTTTTTTTATATCGAACCGCCATATAGATGACGTTCTTTCTTTGAACACTTACATCTTCAAGTAAAATAATCACTACATTTTGTCTACCTAAAACCCCTTGAAATTATATCATACGTGATGCTAAATATTTCTCCCAAAAAAGATTTAGCAACGCCAGAAAAATGTTGCGTTCTCAAGTCTGTGTTACTTGTTTTGTAGTTGCTGTTGTTGGGTTTTTTTACTGTCGTGTTTGTTTATACAATTGTGACTGCCTGCTTTATATTGTTTGGTGATTTTCAATATTTTCCTTATTTCTCTTTAATCTTTCTATATATATATCCCATTTGTTTTAAAATAGCCGCCCTCTTTCTCCTAGTAACGTATTCCCCAGGAATAGATAACCTTAGATGTATTTTGCAAAATCTTTCGGGTCCTCAATGCTCTTCAATTTCTTACTTTGTTTGGCCTTTTTAACTTTTTTTATTCGAGCGTCACTGGTGAGTCTTTTAAAAACGAAACGCGCGTCTTGCGTTCAAAATCTTAATCCTAATATCTTTGATGTTATTGTTTCTCTGTTTCTGTTATACCAGCTCGTTAACGTTTGTAGAATGCCATTCGTTTGATGTGTTTGAGCTTTTGATTTTGCCATTTGATAAAGGACTTTCCGTTTTGAATTTTCCTTGGAGTTCTTTTTTTTGTTGTTGTTTTACTTTATGTATTTGTAAATATTTTGGACTCGAGCATCACAGCCATTAGTTTTTTCGTTTGAATTGTTTTACATTTGTCATATTGGGGCCTTTTATAGCTTACTATGATTTTTGGATTTTGCTCATTGTTGAAGGCCGTACGGTGACCTTAAGTTGTTAACTTCTACGTCATTCGGTCTCTGGTGAAGAGTTGTCTCATTGGCAATCATATCACATCTTCGTTTTTTTTATATATACAGACTTATAATTTTGTTGGCCAGACGCACGTTTTGTCTACAAAGGACTCATCAGTAACGTTCGAATAAAAAAAGTTAAAGGCCGTCGATCCAGTAGTTGTAAAAAGATAACAGACTTATAATTTGTACGCCATAAAAGTATATCGTCAATCCCAGACTGTATGTCACGTGGCCAAATAGGCCAAAAGTCCAAAATCGTTAAAGGTTTTGCTTTGCCTATATAACTTTCAAACCTAGTTTTAGAACAATGACATGATTTAGAAGTCAAAAAGGGAGAACATAACAAGATGGCAATTAAAATTCATAAGTTGCAGGAAAACACCTTGTCAAAAAGAAAAACGACGAATAGACCAATAACATTCCAAAAACACTACTATTTAAACAAAATTGAAAAAAAATGATTATTTGAATATGAGCACGATCATGACTCTCACTTTGAACCTTTCTGCGGTACCACTTTATTTGATTTCAATGAAAAAATTGGTTTCTATTTTTCCAGAAAGAGAGAGCATGAAGAAAGATTATTATTAAAATGACCACTAAATGGCATCATTGTTAGTATAGTTTTGCACAAACATAACGGCGTCCAGCATATTTCAATGTTCGAATATGCCTTTTTGCTTTTAATATTTGGTTCAATGCGTGAATTACCTATACAGCGTTTGGTTAATGGTAGTCACCATTCAATTGGTGTTCAAATCTATTTTAATGTCCCCGCCGTAGGCAACGGGGTATTTACGTGTTACCCTTAGCCGTACTTCCGTCCGTCCGTCTTTCCGTCCGTCCCATTATCGTTTCCACTCTCTAACTTAAGTTTGCCTCATGCCATTTTTTTTTAAACTCATACACAATGCTAACACCCTAATATCGATGACCGAGTTCGAATTTGTTTAGCGAGTCACTTATGGTTCTAGAGTTATTCCCCTTTTAACTTGGAAAATTGCAAAGCTTGAGCAGGGGCATATGTGTCCTCAGACATATTCGTCTTTTACTTTTTTTATAGTGATGACTATAGATTTTTGGATCAGTCGAGCTTAGGTTGAACATTAGGTTATCATAATCTTACATATGTTTCTTACTATATAAAGGGGAAGTACTCAATAATTCAATACCGTTATTATTGACATAGATCCTGGTTTAAAGTCGTACATCAGTATCAATTTTAAGAAAAATATACAGATACTAAGCAGACCAACTAGTTTGGGCAGCATCCGTAGCGTCAAGTTTTCTTGGATATAGATGCCCGAACTCAAATGTGGATAATTGAGTGTCATGACATCATACTATACAAATAATTGAGGATACTACTAAAGAATTTGGCAAGATGTCCTGTAATTTTGTCTTGGAGACTTGGCTTCATGATACTGCAAATGTGAGACACCCAGGAGAGGTACCCATTGGGATGCCGTCTGTTTGTTGAAATACAAATCTACCATTTGACAAGTATTTTACCGATTAATCAACTCGATAGTCATGCATCTTTTAATTCGGTGTATATTTTGTCAGAATCAGTGTGGTACTTTACGAAATAACAAGTCATCTAAAACAAGAAAGGGAGAGGTCAAATTTCTCACGCGATTACTTCACCGATCAGGGCAATTTTGTAAAAAGTCGATCATGTACTTTAAGTTTAGAACCATATTATTTCGTATACCGAATGCGTATACATTTTATAAATGTTTTTAGATGATTCAAAACTACACAAAAACTTTTCTATGTAGTGTTTTGTAGACTGTTGTTTGTCTTTTCGTCTTTTCGTCGTTTTTCTTTTTTTTTTTGTCATGGTTTTGTCGGTCTCTCTTTGACTTATGAGTTTTACTACACTGAGAACTGGGCAGGTGACAATATGACTCTGAAAGCGTCATATTTGTCAAAGATCCTAGTTCGAAGTCGTCTATCTGTCAATTTCAAGACAAAGATCCAGATAAAGAGGTATTTAAAGTCACAACCATTGCTATATTTTATGGTTGTATATAGCTAAGTTTCTAAAACTTATTATGTATTTGTATATATTGCCTTTACCTGAATAAATATTATTATTATTATTATATGAAGCAGACACTCTATAGTTTCAGTGCTGTCCAAGTTCGTTGGAATATACTGAGATAAAAGCACTTACTGGACTAATTGTTACTCCCCCAAACAAAGTTGAACTTAGATGAATTTGGCTATTACTGTAAGGTCACTTTCGATCATATAGCTCTTTCCGTTTCTACATATTTTTACACCCTTGGTTTTCAAATTTTTAGCTTTGAGTGCCTCTTCAGACGTACGAAATTTATATTCCGCGGCAGTGTATATATCTTCTGACCTTGAAAGTAAAGAAATTTTCGTTTTTGATCAATCAATTTGTATAAATGATATCCCACTTTTTTAGAAAAAGCATTGCTTAATGAGAAGATGTAGTCGATTTTTCATTCGAGCATGAGGAATAGTAGTTTAGTGTATAGAAGAATCAAAAGCTCCATAGATGTATATAGTAGGTTTATACATCTATTCTAAGACTACTAAAACAGTCCTAGGGGTCTATTCAACTTGCAGTAAGGTGAGATGTTTTTCTTGCTCCGTGTTTAAGGCCTCGATATGACTTTGAGATGAAGAACAGCAATAAAAGCGCTGTTCTTTTGCTTTTTGTGTGCCCATGTTTTTTTTGCTGTGCATGTACTGATTTTGTGTCATGGATGGATACCCCATATCCTTTGTTTTTCTATTACGTATATATAGATAGATACTTAACTTGATGAGATTGTGTAAGTATTAATACTTTCAAGCTGAGATTATTGTGTTATGTCTGTTATAGCAGAGACATATAATATAGAAGTGAGATGTTTAGCTAGCTATAAAACCAGGTAACTGGTTTAAAAAGTAAAACAACAAAAATACAGAACTCCAAGGAAAATTCAAGACGGAAAGTCCCTTAACAATTGGCAAAATTAATACACCATTTTCTACATAAGGAAATGCCTGTACCAAGTCAGGAATATGACAGTCGTTTTCCATTCGTTTGATGTGTTTGAGCTTTATAAATTTTACCCTTTGATAAATGAATTTCCGTTTTGAATTTTCCTTGGAGTTTGCTGAGACTACTATAACATATTATAGTAGTCTCAGGAGTTTGGTATTTTTTTGGTTTTTTACTTTTTATCATGAATGTCTTTCAGTTATAGTAATCTCCGTTGCTTATGACAATTTTTTTAGGATCCATATCTGCTGGTTAAATATACTTAGGCTTAGGACTAGTATTAACTGACTCAGTGGCGTAGCTAGACTTATAATTATCATGCTGCACGCAGAAGATGCCGAGCGGAGCAAATTTTGGACCCTTTTTTACAGAAAATGAATCTTTTTTCGATCTAAGATGGTTAATTTTGAAGTGAGGAAGTATGCACAGTCAGTGAGTGTTTTGCTATACTAGTATATCAAATCAAAGACCTAAAACTGACTAAATAATTATAAAAACTTTGCAATGCTCGCCAATTTATTATGCTTCAAAGAAAGAAAGGGCTACAGAACTGGATCCTCTCATGACATAAATGTTAACATACGAAAACAAAGCAATTCAAACAATCAATTTTTAATTTGGTGATATATGAATGTGATGTTCGTATGTAAGACCGTATGTAAGACTGAAGTTAACAACCGAGGTCCTTTAGGAGAGTAACATTTTCATTTGCCTAGCATTGTTAAACGTGTCAATAACTTCTTTAGTGTCAATGTCAAAATCAGAATGAACGTGCAGCAGTGCAAGTGAAGAAAGTCTTTCTTGTCCCATGGTCGATCTCAGCATAGATATAATAGCCATAATGGCTATTATATCTATGATCTCAGATACGTTTTTACGCGTTTCAGAGCGCTGAAAGAGCGTTCAGCAGTAGAGGTTGAGGGTGGCACGGTGAGAAGTATTTGCAGAATACAGAATATA